GGAAAAGCTTTAAACTTCCTCATTAAAGATATTCCACTGCCCCCTCCCTTTGGCGTCTTCACTGAGTGATTGTAGTACCGAGAATCGTAGTAATTGTGGTATGATTTTCGTCTGATGTGCCAGCGCTGATTTGGCTAAAAGAGAAGTATTCGGCCCACGAATCAACATGAGATGCGATACTTGGTTATTGATCTGCCGCTGGTTTGTTCGCTTGAAAGGCGAAATTCCCAATCAAACTTTTTGACCGGTGTCACGTGAAATTTTGGTCTCCTATGAAATCGCCTTCCACTGTTGTGACCGACCCGGGTTCGAATCCCGCCTGGGCCAATATGTGAATTAGGTTTTCAGTGGAGTGTCATGGCATAGCGGTTCAGAGCACCGGATTCATGCTCTGGTGTTTCAGAGGCAACAGTGGCGTGGGTTCGAGCCCGCCAGGTGGACACTTGTAAGCAAGGCACTTAACCATTATTGCTTCGTCCTTCGGATGGTACGTAAAGCCGTGTAGTTCCCGTGTGTTGTGCAATGCAATGCACGTAAAAGAACCCAGTGACACTTATCGCTAAGAGAAGGGGTTTCTGGCCTCCTGTATAAACTCCCACGCCACGAGGAGTATTTAGGAGAAGAACCAACCAAGAACCCACCACCAAGAGCTTGATTCCGTGGGTTTTCCCCAGAATAATTCTCTGAGGGTTTTTCTTACCACCTCTAAAACTGCAATTTCTTTTCATTCTCTTCCCTCTTACGGGTTTCTTCAGGCTTGCGAGCTACATTGCCTGATGCGCGTTTGAGGAATCCTTGGTTTCATCACCAGAAATAGTCCTCACTTCCTCACACGTGACTTGACAATGTTCATTTTGGGGCATGCGCACTTCAACCAATAAGTTCGTATTTCTGCGAGTATAATTTCACACTACACCGGTAGAACTTGGGTTTTATACCGCTGCTCTGTTTGGTTGTATTGAGGGGGGGGGGGGGGCACAAATTGGGCCCGAGGGCCACACACATGACAAATTGTTAAGTCCCTCCAACACAATGAAGTGACAAAACAGCCACCATCCTATTTACGGACAATGCTATCAAAAAGGGGCTAGGCACGCGGCTATTGTTGGGAGTGTTAGCGGTGGCGACGCGCGGTGCACCAGGGGCCACGCCTGGACAATTAGCAGCTCGTTGAGGTTGTAACTGATGCTCTTTTGACCCAAGGCAAAGTAAGAAAAAAAAGTTCTTGATTTAACAGCAGACTTCGCCTCCATTCAGGCAAAGAGCAGAGGAACAGAGGCTAGTCTTCTGAGCAAGTGGTCGGCGACAAGGAGTCCTTTCTCTGTGATCTGATAGAGACGCGATTTTGAACGGCTTCATTAAATTGCTTGCAAATACGATGAGAAAATCCGGATGAAACGTCCCTTGTGCTGTATTCGGCTAAAGTGCCGTACAATCCGCTTGCCTGTGGCGTTACTTTTGGAATCCTTATGACTGTGGCCATTGTGCGGATGCTCTAAGTCTAGTCAGTCTCACTGACTGACTGTCACTTGTGACTAACACTGGTTCAGGAGCAGCTTTACGAGGCTTGGCTATTCATGTATGTCTTGTATTATCCACACAACCTCGTCTCTAGGGTGTTGAGCAATACGCGCCCACCACTACCTGCTTTCTCACCCTGGTATTGCATCATTTGCACGTGCAAAATTTTTGAACACGTATGCAAATGAGGAATAGTCTGGTGTCTGTCTGTGCGTTACATTTGCGTTTGTTTTTGTATGCGGTGTCTGGGCAACCTCTTCCCCAGTGTTTACTTTATTTCCAGCCTCGTTTCCAATAGTAAGCCCCGGATAGGAAACTTTCTTCCTGTATCCTGATTCGATACCGCAATTTGCTAATAACGGTACACATAACAAGAATACTAGGCCTGTGTGTAAGTTTCAAAACAGCACCGTTGCAATCCGGCTTATCTAAGATCACCTGGCAATGTCCACGCCACGATTCACAATTTTAATGTCTTTGAAATCCTTGGAATCGAAGCCAATTGTTTTTGTGTCTTCCGATTTCATTTTTATGATCTCGTATAAAAAAACGGAACTGCTTTACCCCTGAAACTTTTATGGTTCGGCATAATGTAAGGCCTTCCATTAAACTTTGAAGAGCCACCCGTGTAAAAAATATGAAATCATATTGAAGGGGGGATCTCACCCAAACCTACAGAATCATGACTCAAATCGACAGGATCAATCCAGGCTCATATGTTTCAGAAAGTTGACTATAGCATGGTACCAGCGGATCAAAGAAACTAGCCAAATTCAGACCAAGACTTGATGTCAGAAAGCACTTCTACAGCCAGAGGGTAGTGGATAGCTGGAACAAATTGCCTGAGAGTGCCATCCAAGCGTCCACACTACTCTGCTTCAAGCAGCATTTAAGTAACTTGGGTATTTAATGGGCAAATGAAGCCCCCTTAACCCTGGCTTATGTTACCCCACACTAACCTCGCCATCCCCCCCCCCCCGCCCGAATTCCCAGCGAGGCCCCACCTCCAGACTTGCATCCTCAGTCGGTTACAATCTCTATTCCCGACATACAAACTACGGTATACAGGGTGAGGTAAAAAAAAAAACGAAACCCAAATGTTGGTACCATTGTTTTAGGGAGGTTCTGCAAGTAGCATTTTCAAAATCTAGGATATGAAAGCCCAATTCATAAGCTTCATTTAAGTACAGGAATCATTCAAATCACTTATGTACTTTTCAAGTTACGGAATTTTAACCACAACCACCGTTTTAAGGTTCTGTCCACGGATCACAAAAAAGTTCAGTGTTCTTTCAGCAAAATGAAAAGGAATCACATAGGGATGTGTGTGAATTGTTTTCGTTTTGCTGAAAGAACGCACACCTTTTTGAATTGGGCTTTCATATCCTAGATTTTGAAAGTGCTACATGCAGAACTTCCCTAAAACAATGGTCCCAACATTTGGTGTTTTTTTTTACTCACCCTGTACAATTGGTAAAGGAAACTTGCTAACCGTAATAATTCACTCCCTGTGTATGAGCAGGATCTTTATGGATTGTGGGGACCGGGTTCGTTGTTTTTGCACTGCAGCCCATTGGGAAATGTGCCATTTATTTCCCTAAAGGCACTCATGTGCACATACGACATGATCAAATTCTCTCTATCGGCAGGCAAAAGAATTATACTTGTGCAAATTAAATGGCGTTGGTAAATTTAAACAGTCCCCCCTTAAATCCAGCAATTGATAATTACTTTTAGCTGCGGATAAAGTGTGAGATTAAACGATTTTTCATTGGAACGAATCAATGTGAAAGCAAAATGGATTCAGGAGTATACTACTTACATATTCAGATGGTGCAGTCAATATAAAAGTCACTGTGTGCAAGTGTCATTAACCTCGAGTTAACGTGGAATAGTTTGAAGACACAATGATTGAAAACAAAACAAAACCGACAAAAAAACTCCGTCCGGTCACGTGACTTGTCTCGCCTCTTGGGTATATTTGTAATTATTCGGGTTCGTGCCAGCACTCGTAAATAATTATATATGTACACACTCATCTGGAAAGCAAAGTGTTTGCTTTCGATAAATGTTGATGTTTCCGAACCCCCTCTTAAAAGCATATTTGTCAGAATAATTCCATCAATAAGTCAATGGCTGGGTTATATATGTTGAGCAAATAGGGCCTGTCACCGGGGTATTGAGTGGGGCTTTGGCGGGCCGTTTGCCCCGTCACACCTGGGAGGACACAGGTGTACGCGACCGGTACCTGTCGGCAAGGATTCCTGTAGTTTCCTGTCCTGTATTGTGTTCTCTCTTTTTTTTCTTTTTTATTTGCAGCCAATCCATAAATCACCCGGGCGAAGATAAAACCATTTCGGTTGTGGGAAAGTACTCGAGCACTGCTAAATGTAAAGGTTTTTTTCCCTGATCAGGTGTAATCCACCCCAGAGAACAAGATATAAGGAAAAAACCAAATGGTTAGCGACTACCGGTAATGAAGTTGAAGAAGGAGGGGGCACAGAATAACGTGTCTCATAAGTAGTGTGATTCGGGGATTAATTGGTTTCTACTTTGTGGTACAAATGACATACATTAAACATTAGGGACGAATTGTGTTAACGAAAAAAATGCTAGCCTTTTTGCCTTTTGTAGATAAATCATACAGACCAGTTATCGTGCTCGTATCGTTAATAAGAATCTTTAATTGACTGTTTTTGTTTTGTTTTTACTATTAACGGGAAATCGTTGGATTAAACTGGCTAAGTTAGCAATTTCGTCTAAGTCACGGTCGTTTGGTGGCTTTGCCGTTCCCCTTGGGAGCATATGATCCATAGATCAAAGAGATCATTGGAATGCCAAATGCGCAACTAATTGAAATTTCAGAGATGTGACATTCATGCTTGCTGCTGCCTATTATCGTCGGTTGGTATTTTTTTTCTGGGAAGTATATAATGTGAAGGTTCGGCAGCTACAAAGGTAGAAATGATTTATAGTGATTATAAAGATTACCCCGGCTATATAGAAGCGAACATGTTTACCTAGCTCATTCTTGCTTCGGAAAATACCCGTAAATGCGTAATCATGATCTAATATTGTTTTGGGCTCTCTCTCAAATAAAAAACCGGCGGCCAAAAAGGCATTCCACCGCCCAACTTCCACCCCCACATTCCCACGAAGATGTCTCGGCCAGCATGCACGGGTTGGAAATATAAACTCCGCGCAGAAACCGAGTTAAACAGAGTTCGCAGCTCTTCATGAGGGAAGGAGAAAAAAAGGAGTTGGGGCACGAAAGGCCAATCCACTTCATCATGTCCATTGAAACTGAATAAATAAAGGCGCATGCCTGACGACGGGCCGGCGGATCGGGCAGCGGATTGGTCGTTTGCGCGACGGTGATTTTCATAGGACCCCACTGATTGGCCAAGACGCCAGGGCTATTATCGCCTCACTGCGCATGAGCCCGAGAAACCCCGGATTGTCGGTGGGCTCTTTGAAAACGGCCCGAACGGCGAATTTCAAATGGGCGCTCTCTTTGTTTGTTTTCCCGGACTTTGGGCAATTCCTTTGATGTGCCGACGGGCCTTTGGTTCCTTTATACAACCCACCGACAGTTGAACTCATTAATTTTGTCATTTATTATTTTACCTTGCTGTGCCGTGCATTACATGCTCTCATATACTAATTCCTCATAGACCCGCTGGACGTGTTTTTAAAAGAGCTCTGTCAGAAAGCAATGAGCAATGTTTGACATAACATGCTGAAGTTTTCACCGGAGAGGGCAAGTTATCGCGGTCGTGTTGGATTTATCTAAAATACTCCTAGAAAAATCGTACTCGACTGCAGCACAGGCTATCATACATAGATTACTTTCTCCCGGCTTAACACTCAAGGATTTCGTCTTATCTCTACGGAACAATAAGTCAAAGTTCAATTTTGTGTGTGGAGCGGCAGAATGTTCTTCGATTCCTAGTCAAAACAAACTAGCGCTGGGAACCACTAATTGTATCCCAATGTGGATGAATACAAAGGAAGCAGCTATGGAGTGCCTCAGATGTGCTTTGCTGACGTTGATTTTAGTGGGATTTGTACAAATGAAAGGAAGCCAGGCATTAATTGATAACTCCTTCAGACTCTCCTCTTCGGAGTCTGCAGCAGCCACCACGATACGGATGACAACTTCATTATCGTCTGCCTCGCCTGTCCTGCCGGACCCGCGGCTCTCCCACTGGGCTCGTGCCGCGAGTGACTACCTTCGGAGTCTGGACTGCACGGCCGTCACATTCACCTCGCAGACGGAGTGCCAGAGGCTTCAGACGCTGGACACCAAGCGGATGAGCGTCTACCTGGCCGGACCTCGTAGCCGGCAGAGGATGGTCTCGGTGCTACCTGACGGTGGACTGAGCCGAGGACGGAGTCACGATGCGGTACTGGTGATTGACCCTCACCCTACGGCCTCCTTCGGACATCTGGTCGTGGTGTTCTCCTTGGACTTGGACTCGGACTGGGAGGACTGCCGGAGTCGCCTCGGATGGTACATAGGTGAGTTTGAATTCCCAAGGCTAATGCAAGTAAAATTTCTCAGCAAACATCTGTACGTGGACATGTACACATGCTTTGTATGTATTGAGACCTTCAAATTGTTTTTGGAGTGCCCGTCTCACAGACATTTATTCATGGTTATTATACATTTTATTATACCTGTCATTCTCGCGCTGTTTACATAGCCATTTTCCCACAGGCGTAGTACAGAACCAGAAGTTCCTAGTTTTGTTTTAGTGACGTGTCAGTGTGTGCTCTGACACTGGAAGCCTCCACAGGGAGAGATGATCCGTGGGTCTAAATTTAGCAACGCCTTCAGCCGTGATGGAATGAACGTGGTTTACCTTGGGATTATTTACTCGGGCACAGCACGCAATGCAGATTTAGATGGTCTGCATTCTTTGGTTCTTCGATATAAAAATGGTGTGTTATCGAGGCTGGGAAAAAGGTGATGGGATGTCATGGATATTATTTGGTTCTACTTGGCCTAGAATTGAAACTGGAAAAAAGGGTGATTAATTTAGTGTTGCCCTTAGGGGGAAGGCAATAGGTTTTAGGAAGAAAACCCACAAGTATGGGAATGAATTAACATGACTTGGTGTAATCGTGGAGGAATAAGAAGTGTGTACTTGAACCTGGTTTCTAGTGTGGAATGTGATCAGTTTCCCGTTTGCAAAGGTCAATCTGGGGATTGGAGTTCGAAGGATGTCAGTTTGTCAAGTTGTGTCAGAAAGCGCGGGGTTCAAGCATAGATGCGTAGTTCAAGTAAGTTCGTTGCGTGTGTTGCATTGCGTGGAACCCCTTTGCTTGCAATGTCTTGTATATTTACCTACCGTGTCAATGGGCTCACCTTTGAAGCAAGCGATGGTCGCGCTACATCATTTTCCTAGAAACAGGTATTATACTGTATATAATCGATCAGGATAAAACAAATGTGCGAGAATAAGTGTTGTTTTAGCGTAAGTGATTAAAGACGGTTCTGGGACGGTGTTGACATGAAATTGCGCCATTTTGATTTGACCATGGAGACTTATTATTTCACTTGTATTTCTAACCCCATGATTGTCACGGTAGTGTATATACCAATATTATGGTGCGCTATAGCCGGCTACTCCATTCCCTGTGGACAGACTGTGGAAACGACTTATCGGAATCCTTTGTTTGTTTGTTTTCACTGTGGACATGAAGTACAAGGAATGATATTTTACTGAAGCTGTTTGGATTGTCAATCGCTGTTTACTTGGCTATTTTTGATGTGCATTCCCACGTGCAGTTGTGGAACATCCTTTTCAAATTTTCGGTTGGCCTTGCAAAGGCTGCCTCGGAAAACTTGCTTTTACTTCCACTAAAATGCTACACTTAGCATGTTGAATGCAGCCAGTTCCTGCCGGCGCCTTTGAAGTCATTCATCCCATTGTCCCGGTTGCGTACATAGCCATTCAGGGCGGCATGTTTTCAAGCTTTTTCAAAGGCGCCCTCCAGATTTCCGCCTTAGTGCACACCTTGACTTGGGGGAGGGATTCGTGAGTGTATCGTTTTGGGGGTTCGGTGGTGAATGAATGGCGGCGACAGCCTTTGATCGCTTGCCGGTTGAGTGGGCCCCGACACGCGGAGGCAATTGTTCACGACAATCTCGGTTAAGTGGTTCTATTGATGGAGTTAGAAAGTCCCGTTGTTGTTGGGGAACAGCTCCTAGGTCGTGCATGCTAGGCTTGAGCCAGTCATCAGCGCCCGTCAAGCAGAGACCCCAGACGGCGACTGAGCGGGTGAGTGGACCCGTACCCAGGCGCGTTCCCAAGCTCGCCAGCTCAAGCTCATCAGCGCTATTGTCTTCGTTCGACAGGAGAACTGCGATGTTCTGTTTTTTGCTATAGGCCTAAACCTCTTCTCATCTACCAAGTCGAGTTTCCCCTGAAATTACGAAACAGAGCCCGTGTTTAAAATTGCTTATTGCCAATTTTCTAGGGATACAAAAGTTACCCCCCTTGAATTAGACATCGAACTAAAAAAATCCACCCGTTTTAATAGATTTGGATAAAAGATGTGTAATAATTTACTTTTACAAAATGTCAAATTATTTCCGGCCCGACAATAATTCACGTGTATCGTTGTGTGCGTTATGGGCCCAGGAGTATCCAAAATCACAGCGTATTTTCAGAGGGTTGAATTGAAACATCCAAAATATAAAGGAGTTGCTTTTTTCCTTTTTGAATAAAAAATAAATCGAAAAATCATTACGAGAAACAAATTGTTTATGTTGAAGACCGTATGAAAAGTAATTCAATTTCTTGACACAGAGGGCGCTGCTGTTGTGATCGTGAGCGGGGCATTCACTTCAAACAATCTTGCATGTTTCCTGCATAACTTCTGTTACTCAGTGAGAATAGAAGGTTATTTTTTTACTCCATGGAATAAAATACTTGCATGGATGTGTTGAGGTGGGTGATTACTTACAAGAAGAGGTTTAATTAAATTCAAAAGGACCACTATGGTGTACTTTTATGAAGAAAGAAAAATTAAATCAGGTGTCCAGATCGGTCAATCCAGAAGTACATGAACCCAGGTGTAAACCCACGCACATTTGGAAGCAGGTATTTTTTCCCTTCCTGTGGTAAAAAGACAAACAAACAGAGCTCAGCCGTGACGTTGTCTGTCAATCATCGCCGGGCGACATCAAGCCGGAGCGGGCCCCGGTCTGACCCTGCCGTGGGGGTTCACGGAACGGAAGCCCGGGGGAAGGGAACCATGCACAAAAGCGTGCGGTTACGTGACGTCCCGTTGCGCATGGGTGAAACCCCGCCGGTTGGCTGCAGCTTAAAGGGCACTCGCTGCCGAAATGCACCCTTTTTGAGATCTAAATCTTGTTTCTCCCGAAAACTGATTTTTTTTCCAGAAAGTTTCTTTAGACGCGTGTGTGCTATAGGCAAGGCAAAAATAACTGCTGGACTCGCCAGCTAATAGAGCCAATGTCAATTTCTCCGTAAGACATGTAGGTTTTCGTGTAACTCGTACAATTGAAATGTGTGAAATGAAGTGTTTACGTGTGTGCTTTCCTAAGGTGCTCAGTTCCCCGTGGGCCCCGGCCCAGTGGGTCCATGGGAAAGTGCACATGTAAACAAAGTGTGACGTCATTAGTACAGAGGCTTATTGAGACGAATGTTTGGACGAATGTACAGTATACCTTTAATTAAGCAGACCAACTTCTGCTGAACTGGAGCCATACAGGCCGGGTTACGTTGTAGGGTCACCTGGGGACACGCGGGGCATTTTGCAGGCAGGTGTAGCGATCAAAGCATCCGAAGCTTCCGTTCTGGACCGAGACTCGTTGCAGTAATTGCGATACCTCTTGAAAGAAAAAATAATAAAAGGTGTTTGTGATCATAACCGAAAGTATCATTTTGCTGGTGTGAGTTATCAATGTCCCCGTGTGGAATATCCTTTCCATGCGTCTGCATACCACTCATTTTAATAAGAGCCATAGATCTTTAACAGCGCATACGCTATAGAATTTCACCTAGGCTACCTTTGCGTCCAATTACCATAGTTGCTATTTGAAGAATGTCAGGGAGCTTTTTGTTTATGTGCGGATGTGGTGTTTGCGAATATCCATATTTGTGAGCCACATGCATGGAAGTCATCGCAGTCAGAGGTTTCGGTGATGCTGTTGAGTTTTAAAAAAATCAAGAATGATTAAACCAGTTTGACATTCGCATTGCATCACGGAAATGGATGAAAAACAGGCAATGCAGTTTATGCACAAACATAATAGGGAAATTGGGATAGGAACCAGTCAAGCTTTAAAGTATTTTTTCTTCATTATTTTTTCCAAGATGAAGTAATCCTCGATTCACCTATAAATGCATAGAATATAAAAATTAAAAGTTGTAAATAAAATTAAGCTTTTTACACTTTAGAAATAAAAATCAGACATAATCTTTATGTCCGGGTACCATTCATTAGGCCCAGTGGGACAATGTGATTGGTCAGTGTTGGAGGTATGAGATTAACATCTCGATTCTGATTGGTCAATATTGGCAGGCTCATGATCGGACTCCCAAAAACTTTCTTCATGCCAATAGGCTTTACACATTTTTTTTTAAAATGAGTATATTTCAAATTACAAATTCAACAAACGCGGGAAAAGATCATCACTAAATTCTTGATATTTAAAGAGGAGGAATGCTATGAAAGTTGTAAGTGTTAATTTCTTTTTTAAACAACTGGTTCAGAAGTTCCAAAATATTTATATCTACAAATGTAGCACTGGAGTGGAACGCCTTGTTTGGGCAGCGAGGCATTTCGACTACTGTGCTGGTTTCTTCACTCTTGGTATAGCGCTATTTTGATCTTTATTCAGTGAATTCCACATTACGACAGGAGTTCTCCGATATCGCCCCAGCCTCTCAACAGCCTGCCAAATCTGCTGTGGTCGAGGCCAATTCCAAGGAAAACCTTAATTCACACCTCGGCTGAAAAATACACCAGTAACACCAGGCGATAGGGCCAGTTATCCACCGGGTTTTACGGGTTCTCCCGACCGCGCTATAGATCAAAGGCGCCCGCCGCAAAACCCGGCGCTCGTGGTTGTATTTTGACATCAAACAAAAGTGGGGGTGGTGTAACGCGTTGTTAGTCAACAAGCCCCCACCCCCCATATATTCCCCCTACAATACAGTTTGCATTGTTCTGTTTGCCAGGTTTTCAGTATAGGTGAATGAGATTCCCCCTATCATTTTTCGTCCGGCTCCGGCGGGTGTCAATACGCACCCCCACGTGGCGGCTGTAAGCGATACTGGCTGAGAGTGTCAAACGGTTTTTCTGGGGAAAACTAGTAAACACCCCAAAGTGAAGTGAGATAGTTGCATGGTTTCGTGGTAGCCGAGAGGGGAGTGGACAAAAGCTGTTATGCCAGCGATGTTAAAAGGGACAAGAAAAATACATGTTTGATCATAGCATACAAACAACTTATAGGTTACAAATATACATAGCCTAGCGCCTACATCGCATAATAGAAGGTTAAACACAGACTTTTTTAATAGGCCTATATCTCATTAAAAACTGGTGGGCATCACGATAAGCTTAGCGGCATAGCAAGGTCATTTTTAAAAAAGGCCACCTCAACTGCAGACCAAAAAGTAGTGGCTTCATCCCCAAACCTAAGGATTCACCCACAGTTGCTGCTTTAAATTGTCCCGTGTGAAGACTGTATTTCGACGAAACACGTTCATATTTATCTTTTGACACGGATCATAATAGATTTTGTTTTAAATTTTCTTGAAAAATAATTATCACAGGTGACGGAGAATGCATCCACATCTTAGAGAAGCGCAGGTGCCGTAACAAGCTCCATCGCAAGAGCGGTAGGAGGCGCTGTGAAATCAACTTCCTCCCCCTGGTGCATCTGGAAGAGGATAGCGTAAGTACAAAATGTATACCATCTGTTACTTCGTAAGACTCTCACATCATAACGTTAGTAACCGAAGAGCCTCTACCACTTAAAGATGTACTGCCTATGCTCTTTTGGAGTTTCACCCCGAGAATTATACCTTTTTTATTGCTATTTTCTCGCTATACACATTCGTTATTATTCACTTTCGAATGAAACGTCGAACGAAAAGACCGGCCATGTTTAATTTTGGAATAATAATACTTATTAACTTTAAAATTATTCACTGCCGGACAATAATTCGGTTCTCGTATATGGTACATTGGTTCCCGCCCATACTCTGTATGGATGATGTAGGGACGGGAACCAGTCTACTTGCAGATTGATTGATTCATTGATTTACGTTCGATCATAACATAATAGCTTCAAATTCATGTCAGGAGCAAAAAATAACTAGTTGAAGAACAAGGACTGTACAATAAGCACCCGAACCACGTTTGTCTTGCAACACAGTACACAGGGCCCCTTGCCATCCGAACTGCGCGGGTTGCCCCAGCCTCTACTTATTTTTTATTTCAATGTGCATTTGCTATCCCGTGTGCAACTGTTAAAAACAAATTGCTTGATTCAAACGCCAAGACCGTGAATCTAAGAGAAAAGCTACGGAGATACGCACTGCAATAAGCATAATGATCTAAGTAAGCACACGCCCCTTGGGAACAAACGAAATACCGGATTTTCAAGATAAAATACGACGGCTTGCATAATTACACTGCAGCAACCGACGCGTGCGGGAAACGATAACGCACCGCCAGCACCCGTGGGGTTAAAATTACCCATTTGATACGGTCCCCCGTGTGGTAATTTTGCTCGTTCGGTTGATGAACTCTTTCGTGTTAATAATAAATGCAACCGGTCTCTTTGAAGACCTCGTAAAATTGCTGAGTCGGTGCGATTTCAAAGGCGAATGCCGTCCTGTATAATATACAATTCCCAGAGCTTTTTTCTATCCCTGTACATATCAGAACCCCAGGCAAGACAGAAATTGCACTACTACTGACTCACTTTATTATTTTGTTTTTATCTGTCTGTTTTGAAACTCTGAGACGTATATATACATTCGCGGAAACCCATCGATAGTTGAGAAACACCTTTGGCTTTTATTACCGTCGACTGTACTGCTAATTTTATCCTAAGGGTCTATACATACAAAAGTGGCGTTGGTTAAAATATTCTTACCATGGTAAGATGTTTTTTAAGGGTAGGCTTTGCTAAGGGTAGGCCCTTAAACTCTTGTCCGGTTTATTTCGGTGGTTCAGTTTACGACTCGATTTTGATTCCCGGAAAACAAGACTATAAAGCACACCTGGTTATCTGTAGGCCTAAAACCAGCCCAGAACAACATTATCAATTCAACAGTGACCCTCAATTTAAAAGCCCTATCAAGAAATACTCTTGTCGATAACAGACTAGCGATTCGGTTGGACTATTACGCGATCTTCAAACAAGAAATCTTTCCATGTCGTTTAATTGTAATGGAATGGTAACTGTAGCCGATTCAAAGACTTCATTTGAGGAATCTTACAGGGGGTCTCAGATGATTTCAATTGATAAGATATTTTCTTGAAAAGAGCAAATGTCTAAAACGAAGAGTAGGCCATCAGCCTGGGGGGTTTGGTGGGTATCAAATGAGGGAATAATGCTCATTGTGATTTCTGGCAAGGTATGCACCCCGAGTTGGAAAATATGTGATAGCATTGCAGCGGTGGCAGCTTTTTGGGCGCTATCACTTAAAAAAATGCGGCCAACACATGCTTGTTACCACACAATTAATCCGGTAACAAGCATATTGGCGGCCATTTAGTGAAGAAAAATTATAAGTGATAACACCCAACAAAATGCCACCGCTCACACTGCAAAGCTATCACACATTTTCACACTCTAAATGTGCATACCTTGCCAAAAATCGCTATGAGCACTGCTCCTTTCGATCATTTGATACCTGTGGCCCAATTTTTGGACCGAAGCTGATAGCCTAAAATCTTTATTCTGAATCTTATATCTTGACAAGATGACGTAAACTATGGTGATTCAACCCTAATACCTCGACCTCAAAATTCTAACCGGACTTGTGATGTACTTGTGATGGACTCGAAACAAAACACTGCATGACAGTCAGCTTTCAAGGGACCTTGTCCTTAGGCCAAATTGTGCTCACAGTCGCGTGTTTTTTATTTACTGTGTATTAACTACAGAATAAGGAGCAGCAACTGCGGTGTTTTCCCAACATTGGATCTTTCGGGCCGTGTCCGCAGTACCGCACAGACGTCGGAAACTACACGAATCGATGCGAGCTGTCTCACAACACGTACAGATGTGAAATACCTGTCCAACATGTAAGTGTATAGTATTTGTCCGAGCCTGAATTGGCATTTTATTCCCCGAAACAATGCAGCAATTTCATAAAAAGCTGTGTAAGACCACCGCGCAGTAGAGGTCGCTGTCAACAAGATCAATCACATCTTGTCTTGGGAACGTTGGCAGCGCTACACCGAAAATTCAGAGCATAGGTCACTCGCGCTGTATTGAAGCTAATGCAGCGTGCGTGAGGTATGCCTGGATTTTCCTGGATAGCGCTGCCGAAATTCCCAAAACTGGATTCGAATTATCTTGTTCATAACGACCGTTACTGCCGCCGCGGCGGTTTTACTGTGCTTGTCCAGGACTAGCTCTTTATGCATAATAATCCAAATTCAGTCTTGCCGGACAAAGACTTTTTTAAAGAAGCTCTTTGAACAAAATTGCTGTTCTATTTCTAGTTTCGAAGTAAAATAGCTGTTGTTTCTTTTTGTCAAGTTGATCTTCTCTTGACTCTTTTGCGAAGTATTCTTAACGAGTAGTTTAAGAAATACCCCGCTGAAACAGCTTATTCGAATGCCCTTTCTCGACAATGATTGAATAGGCTTGCGTCAACACTTTGATTGAATGTTTCAGCTCTTTACCCAAATTCCTTCGTCAGGTCAACTCGAGGTGCAAGTACTACGAGATATGCGACCAGGCTGTGTTGGTATCCGGAGGCTGGAACCGCCAGACAAGTCAACAGCGACACGCACAGAACATCCGGGGGATGTACTCCATGCTGCGGGAGCACGGCTTCAAGAGGCCCAATATCAAGACATTCTTCGCTGATAGTGGCGATATTCTCCGTAAGTTATCATCTTGGGATGCAGAATTTACCCGGATCTATCTCAGGGTTAAACCTTTATCAGATAGCAATGGCATCTCGTGAATGTCTGGGTACGAGGTGTATCACAACATTCGTTGCAATGTAAACATTGTTCTTCTGATCTAAACCTATGCGAGATGAGTGAAAGTTCTTTCTCTCTGGAGAAAATTCCCAGTGCATTGAAGAAAGCAGGCCGGTTTCCGTAGGAAAGCAATCTTAATCAACGCTTTGAATAAAACAAAATATACATTCCTTCGGGGGCGCTGTTCAAAGCGAACAATCACGGGCACCATCGGACAATATGGGGCGCTTTTCACGGCGGCACAATTGCCGATGTTCGCGCAACGTAAAAAAAAAATAGGCCACTTGTAAACAAAGGGCGCCCGTGAAAAAAGGGCACTCGGGAAAAACGGGCACTCGTGAAATAAGGGCACTCGTGAAAAAAAAGCGCACTCTTTAAAAAAAGCGCACTCATGAACAAAAGGACCACGCGGAAAAAAGAGCGCGTGAAATAAAGGGCTCTCGTTAAAAAAGGCACTCGGGAAAAAAGGGCATTGGTTACAAGATACTTCGTGGAAAAACCCCCTTATGCCGGCCCGGCTGCATCACCAAAATCACCAGTAAGCGTCCAGTACTCCAATGAAACGACTTTACAAATGTGATGTATACCATCAAAGGCAATGTGGATCGAGGTTAATTAACTTACAAACTATGTTGTCCAAACTCCAATAATGATATGAAAAACACTGACTTCAAATGAAAAATATCTGGGTTTCTTTTTCAGTGGAAGAGGATGAACATAGCAACCGTAACTCCTACCCAGCAACTCAAAAGGACGCCATTAGAAACCACATCAGTACGTTGTGCAGGGTACCCAACTGTGTGGAGACCTTAGTCATCTACCTTAACAGCCCGACCACCAACGACGGCACCAGTCTATTGTGGGACACAGACAGCAATGGAGTGGTGAGTGCGTATAGACCATATTACCTGTAGCTCCATGCCGACAGGCAAAGAGCAGAAACAGTATCAACACTTTCAAACCAACCATATTCCAAGAAATAAACATGCAGTACAGAATAGGAGAGCTCTAAGCTTTTTGCTGATAACGTCGGCATCACTTAAGCACAAAATCTAAAGTTTTGTAAACAGGTGTAGCCTGGTATATGAGGCAAAATAGAGCCGTTTGAAACATTTTAGTCTGTGCCGAATGACACGAAATTCCCGCCAAAAGTTCCTCCGCCGCTTAATGGTTTGTCTACATAGGACTACCCAAGCATTCCCATATGTCTCGTATATCACAATCTTTGTGGACTCATTAGCTCATTTTTTTTCTTGACAGAACCTTTTCAAGCAATATCCGGCAAAAAAATCCTGAGTTATCATCCATGACTCCCTTTGGCATTGTTTGTACATTTGCTGAAGAAAAGAAAATCAGTGTATTATTATTACTTTGTATTTTGGACTTGTTTCCGAGGGATAAACAATTTAAAACTGTTCTCTCAGGCATCGGAAGCAGAGAGCTACTCGACTACGGAACTCCTGCAAGACCTGGAGGATTGTCGAGCCAAGCGGATATACGTCATCGCCGACCAGAGCTACTCGGGCCTATTGGCCGAGTCCATCATTACGTCAGAGAACCACGGCAACGTGGTGGTGTTTGCCAGCAGTGGATCCACAGAGTACTCGTGGAACGATGAGTTGACGTGGCAGTGGATACAGGCCAACCACACCACGCAGTGTGTGGATGCCATATTTGAGGCAAGTTCAAAAGGATAAAGGGAGGACTGTCTATACATTGTAGCTTTAGAGGGAAAAGAGTGTGAACTCTTCTGGGTGGACGTGACATCATATAGAGAAGACCATTAATTAAAGGCATCAACAAGGTTTCTAAGTCGTAATCATGTTAAGTCACAAGATAGTGGAAACCGCACGTAACAGGTAATGGAAAATGACAATGGAATGTCTGTATAGACCATTATCTAGACCATTTTTACCCATTCAAATCAATGTAACCGAAGCGAGGCTGGAAGGAAAAATAGTCTGGTTCTTTTATTGCACAAAAACATTATCATTCGGTGCTGTTATTTGATACAGGCAACATGACTAAAATGGTGGAAACAGTAAAGATGCTTACTTATGGTTACTTGTCTCTCCCACACAGGACTACATGGACACCATGTCGTCCCTTCCGTCTATGGCAGAGGGCGGTTTCAACGCGGCCAACAGCACCGTCTTCGGCGCTCCGTGCGAGACGCTACCGTTCTTCACTCCTCGCGAGATCAAGACGAACTTCATGGGTTGCCAGAATCTGCCCATGGCCTGGTGGCTGTTCAAGTTTCAGGAGTCCAGAAACGCCAAGTCGTAAGACGACCTGGAGCTTGTCAATTGTGTAGTCAGTTTGTTGACAAGGTGGACTTTAAATAAATAAATTAAAAAAAAAAGGTCTTCGGTATGAGGAATATTTCAGCTGTAGGCAGGAAAAAGATAGAACGCGTTTACTGTACAATGTCATACAGTCCACCCCGGATGATCATGTTAGATTTACATGAAGGAGGCATATAGGTTGGTCTTTGATGACGTCACCAATTTTTTCGGCCATCTTGGATTACAAACACGCGTACACACGTTCGCGATCTTACATGTCATTGCGTGCGATCACGTCGAATCGGATGCCCACTGTTGTTTTTCATCTTTTTATTTTGCAAAATCGGGACCGATTCGACCTATCCTGGTATTTTGTAACTATAAGTGCAACTATAATCACACCAATAACAATCAACTGGAAAACCAATTGCTTTCTTTTCATCTCCTCATTAATTAATTAGTTAATTAATTAAAAAGGGCTGCTTCAAAGCTGCCATCGAGTACGTGTACAGACAGCCTCCACTGGAAAGCGCTTTGTTATTTTCACCGAAATATTCTTTATACAGAACTCAATTTATTCAACTGTAATTTATTGTAAATAAAGAAATAATACTTTTATTAACCGTTTTAACCTATGCGACGATGCTTTAACGCTAATTATTGTAAATCTTGTTTGTCACTGATTATATTGACCCTGGTTTGAAAATGTATAAAGAAAGGAAACATATATCAGGGTAATTGAAATCTGTACCACGAATCTCATTTTTTAAGCGGAAGATCGCCCAAGAAAATATATTTCTTCCCAAATACACTGGTCTAACATTTAAAAATAGTCCATATTTTCCTCATTTGTAATATCAAGGCCAAACTTTGAGATGTTTCCTGAGTAATAGTACAAATAATGCAGGATAGGTTTTATAAGCATAATGTGTTAGCCATTGGGTATAGCCATGCGTCTCTTTTGTGAGCATGCGTACAGGTTTAAGATTGCATAATCATGGCGGTTCCAAAACAAAAAAACTTGTGTAATGCAGTGTTCGTTTTTTATTTTAAACCGTGCAGTGATCGTCGGTGTTTCTTTATTTGTATGAGAAAGGCAACGTTAAGAGGCTTTTCTCAGCTGGCCTACTCATATTTTATTATTATTATAATTATTATTATTATTATTATTATTATTTTTTTTTTGGGGGGGTTGTGTCCGATATATAATCTTTCAATCAGATATAATGTAATTGCATGCTGCCGATGTGGTGTAAATACTAGGTATTTAGTTAAATTACAAGTATGCAGGCGGGAAACAAATGATACGTTGTTTCACCAGTAAATACATGTACATGTACATGTACATAGGCATGGAGGGGGAACGTGATGTATTTGAGAAACTTTTAGTTTTCGAATTTTCAAGCCTGAATTTGTCCCTCGTTCTTTAGGAATAATGTCGCCAGGCACAATTGTGCCCATAGTACCTCGCGTCGTTCTGACCGTTCATGTTTTGCATGAAATGTGAAACCGAATGCGTATTGCAGAGGCAGCAAATATCAAATATATTTCCCCGTTTGGTACTAGCTGTAAATAATTCGGTGACAGCCCGATTATCTGAAGGTTCGATAATCCGAATGGCTCATTATTCCGAAAATAGAACAAGGTTAAATAATCAAATATATATCCCCGTTTTTTACAGCAGCTAGATCATTCTTGATACTTGGAACCTAATGTTTACAAAATACATCCATGCGTGAACTTCGGCACTTTTGACTGCTCGTTGTACATAGATTGCGTAATATTCATTGTACATACCAAACAATAAAAGGATATCTATTATGCTTTGTCATGTCTATGTTAACGTGCCTTTAATGATTGTATATATAATGTCCGTGCTTTCGGTACAACCTACTTAAATTGTAAGGCTGAATAAAATAACGTTTCATGAATGTACACAATCACCGTGAAAGCCTGTACATGTGTAATAGTGGCTTTGATGGAACAAAGTACAATGTAGTTCCCTTTCTCTCGGTTAATGCATTAAGATTTTGCTGTAGGTTCTCTTGTCTTTTGGGCGTTAGAAGGCTTCCGTACGTTTGTGAGGCCCGGTGGTACGTGACAGCGCCACCAAGTGGTAGACTTTAAGACAAAGTCTGATGGTTTCGCTTTAGTTTTAAAAGCAAGTCGAACAAGGAGATTTATATTTGGTAAGTCCCGGCTGTTTTTTTTTTACCTCCTCACAACCTGAACCTTTAATGCAGCGCCAACCAGACTCATACACGGCATGACTGACTGATTTCCTCAGCAGTCAACCAGATGCAAATCAATATATGTGACTGCAGATCCGATGTAATTATTTAGGCAGCTGTCTTGTCAGATGTACATATTCCAGCCCAATCGTTGGTTACGCCCCATTGCATCGCGTTCATAATGTCCAACAGGTCGTTCCGTCGGCGTCGATATAATGGCTACGATTTTACCGATCGTCTTTTATTAAATCCTATCATGAAATCAATGGCGGAGCTGTGGGAGTTAGTGGGTTGTCTTAACGCCCCCCCCCTGGCGATTTATTCCTAAATAACTGAACGCCCTCTACGAGACTTTTATGATACGTACGCAGGTATATATTACCAAGAATTTCCAGGATTTGCCGAGCAGTTCGATTGCTCAGTCGATATATGATCGTGATTTTGTACCCGAGGGATCCCCGCGATGTGGGTCCGTAACAGCATTTTACCCGATTTTTTCCCTTTCTTATCTGAGGCTTTGGAAGATTTTTTTGTAAAGGGAAATAAAGTCTTAATTTCATCACGTTCGAATTCATTTCTTTTTTTCTTCTAATTTTATATAATTATAGTTTTTCCCCATATTTTTAAGAGAAGTAAAGTCCAAAACATCACAGCGTACACCATATTATGCGGATGTCGTTGGGGAAAAACTTCGCCTCCGCCGTCGTGGGCCGAAAAATAACACCAACGTACACTGTCAATCATAGTGACAGACACGGCAAATTGGTTCTAATAATTAGAACCGAAGGTTTTTGTCACCTAATGGCGACTTAAGGGCGGATCTAAGGGGGTGGTCGGCTGTAGGCCTAACCACCACCGATTCCGACGGACATAATCGAAACAAAATCCCACTTCTTTCAGTTGTAGAATAACGAAGACACTCAATATTGGAATGTCAATTATACTCTCCGGCCTTTTATCGTGTTATGCTTTGACTTTAACAATTCTTGGACATCAACACTCAGCCATCCCCTTCAGAAAATCCTTGATCCGCCACTGTGACGTCCAGGTTTTATAGGGGTGGGGCTGTGGGTGGGCGGGGCTAGTTAGGAAGGGATGCTTTCAAATGGTGGTGGATAGAAAGCTAGAAGTTTCCAGTGTACCACCCCTTGAAACATTACCAAAGAACTTGAGTAAATAGAAACTTGAAGTGTTCTCATTAATTCAGGAGAAATTCACTGTACAGTCTCTCATACATTTTGTAGTTTTCATCAAGCACACAGTATGATTTCATAAGTTTCATATACATGTACTGAATACGCCCAGAAATTGATTTTGTCAGGGTGGGATATTTTGCATGTTGTTAATTAAATGTTCATGTCTTTATAATGCCGTTTTGCTTGCCAAAAATCGATCTTCTCTTTCGTATTACTATGTTTGTCGTTTTCTTACCAAATTTAATTAAACACCTGTCCCAAGTCAGAAGACCACCTGGCAAGCTTTAAATTTCAGGTCTCTGACAGCCCTCGAATTCCAGGTCTCGATTTTCATCAACTGCTAACTCAGCGACTTTAGGCCGGGCCAATCAGCTCGCTTCCTTAGATTTTGAAATTGTTTCGTCCAATTGGACCGCTTTATTTGAATACACAATGGGTTGGATCACCAATCAAAGCAGTCCCGTCAATTAATGTATGCATCTTTTCTGTATAAAGCCCGCTGGGGCTTGTTCGCACGCTTTACTGAAGGGTCTACCTGCTGTTGAAGCAGAGAGTTTCAGGTAGTGCCGACAGTTTTTGAATACCACAGTCTAGAGAATTGGAGACGGAATTCACGAGGAGAATTGAGGCTACAAGAAGAGGAGGCATTTTCGCGATGGCGCGCATCGCTAGCTGCTCTTCAGCGTTGATTCTTCTCATTACGTGGATCACAAGGTAAATGTCGGACTTTTAACACAATTTTGTTTCTTTTGGCGATAGAAACTCTGTTACATGTGCTTAACCTAAACCCAGAGGGTTCATTTGAGTTGTATGCAGAATCGTGTTGAATTGAGCGTGGTTAGTATTAAATGTTAAGCCCCAAATCGCCCGAGTTGTGCCGGTTTAAGCGACCGACATTTCTTTATTGCAGTTTAATAAGCGGACTTTATTTTATATAATAATTATTTAGGCCTCTGTGTATTTCTTCCTGGTGCTCTTTCTTAATAAATAATTTCTTATAAATTGTGTACCTTTAAGTGCACTTTTCAATTTAAATTTGTTTTCTTAACTTAGTAGGGCCTAATACGTACGTCCACCGACCAACGCTTTGAAGCATGTTCACCACCATGCCACAATGTGTCAATTTGAAGGGATTGTGCAAAGATCCTATACATAAATTATGTACTTTTTAGAAACAGGAGAATTTAGCTTTACACCGAGTAGCACCATGTTAGGTAAGAAGGCCAAAAATAACCATGTATATGTTTTGTATTAATTTCAACTGAAACTTTAAAAAAAAATCAGTCAGCATTGACATTAAATAACCAACCAAAGAAACAACAAAATAAAAATAAAAAGAAATTTTGCTGGTGTACGGCCCACAACAGGAATGGTACAAATGCATGTGCGAGATTAATGGGCTTATAATATTTTTTTACAAAAAAATGGCCCTAGAAAAAAGCTGACACCCCTTGCAAAAAGTCCTACATGGTATATTCTACAATTTCATGGGACATAAAGCGAAACATAGGGCTATATGTGGTAAAACATTTTTTTAAATCTCAAAGAATTGGAGATCAAATTAATCCCTTCCTGCTGCGGCAAGCCTGGGTCCAAGCCTGCAATTTAATACTTTTGCGTGATCCAAACATGGGTTGTTGTCTCTCAATCGTTGATCCATGTTTTCAACTCTCAGAAAACTGTTTAATTTCGATAGGGCTCAAGCCGGCGGTGGGGCTACTCAGGCCGGCGGTTAGACTGCCCAGGCTAGCGATGGGGCTGGCACCGCCGGCATTATAGGGCTGCGGTGAGCAGTGTTTGTGTAGCGCGCACTCTTTTGTAAGAAATTGTTGCATGACGATAGAATACGGAGTGTCCGTCATACTGCAAATTCCTTAAATTATATTACGTTCATTCTTCGGCGGTTCCTGTCAATTTTCTAGAGTTTCGTGTCAAATACCATGGCAAAATATAACAGGAAATTTCACTGCAATACAATGTGTTTATATTGAGTTCCAGTTTTCACAATAACTGTGTTAACATCTCGAACGGCCAGACGTCGGAGGGCGGTTCGGTGAGCAGTGTTTGTGTAGCGCGCCCTCTTTTGTAAGAAATTGTTGCATGACGATAAAATACGGAGTGTCCTTCATACTGCAATTCCTTATATATTACATTCATTCTTCGGCGGTTCCTGTCAATTTTCTAGAGTTTCGTGTCAAATACCATGGGAAACATGTAAAATCTGTCGGAGGGACATATTTACCGAGTCGCGACCCGGGGGACAAATAGAGGAGGCGGGGCGGGGGGGGGGGGGAGAACAGAATTACAGTCCACACCGGCCCATGAGAAAACTAGGCCTGCCCGCCACGAGTCAGTCAACCTACCGGTGGCTTAGAGAGAAAGAGTAAAATAAAAGGCTGCCTAAAATTCCCGTTACAATACCTGTCATGCGTAGGGATAGCAGTGGGGCTGTGATAGACATCAGTCAGTGTGTCACTTATCAATTCCCGTCACTTATTTCTCATCCAGATGCAACGCAGTGCCACATTATTATGGGGCTACCTGCCACTACGTGGAGAAGATCAATTACGACACACAGATAGACGAACCGTACCTGACTAACACTTTTGACGATGGAAGCATCATAGAGCATCAGGAGCCGTTCATCAGGAGGTGAGCAGCACATTAATTATTTCAAGTGGATTCATGATAAACGACAGGGTCCTAACACCGTGGAAAAAGTCTGAGTGGACTTAACACTGATAATTTTGAGGGCCATGTGTACTTTTAGAAAATAATACTAATAAATAATAATAGTGGGCATAATAATAATCGTGTATGTCACTTTGTGCTGAGTAGGTTCATGAGATTTTCATCAGTAGTGGTCTTCTCCTGGAAGCATGCAATGAAAATAAACATGGGCCCTATCCTGCATCCCAATTAGCCTTTATGCAGGGGACATACAGCGTGTCCCAGTCAACCTTGTGCATGAAGAAATCGCTGATTTTCTCAACAGTTGGTCAGACTAGCTAATCAAATTTTATAGCATTTTCAAGCCTATGGTCTTGTTTATAATTGTGAAAAAAAAATCATATATATTTGCAGGAGGGTTTGTTGTGATGAGAAAGAAGAATCCAACTTTTGTGGAAAACGTAAGTAATTCATATTAAAGGGCAGTAATTGAACAACGTGCTTGGTTCCCTCTTAAATAACAAAAATGGAAAGAAGACATTAATGGAAAGGTCCAGCCCCAAAGGCAATAGGCCTACATTACAATCCCATGAATAGTAGCAAAAATAGATGGCTACCATTGTACACTTGCTGATCATTATCAACTGTGTCTTCAGTGTATCTAAAGGGTGCAGACCTGTAAATAGGCCCGAAATTGCCTACGCCGTCCAAATCACGATTTTCATGCCCTAAAATTCTCCAGTATTGGAGGATTGTGAGGGCCGTGAACTTGAGGATTCTTTAAAAAAAGGTGGAAGCCGTGCAGAGGACTGCGAGCTCGTATTTCTGTGAAATGTGGATGACATCGGGCCCTAAAATTGCTCTTTTTTGCAATGGAGCGAAGACGTCCATTTTCAAAATGGCGATGGACTTCAGGACCGTTTTTCTAGATTATCATCTTGGATGGAATTTTCTTCCAAAAGGCGTTGGCTAATCCCCCAAAAATTGAACGGAAAATAAAAGATGATGACATAAGCATTTGATTTGTGTCTCGAACAACTTGGAGCGTTATGAGTATTTTAATTGATTTTGGGAAGTGCGCGTTTATTTTCACTGAGGTCTATGACAGTCATTTTACCAGTATGCAACCTTACATAAGGTCACTTCAATGAGGTCACTTAAATAGCTCAACCTTGCAAAAAATATTTAATATCTGTACATAAATGGTGGCTCTTTTGCTTGAAGTCGTCAATCTCAACTTAGCCTCAGGCCGGGAAGCGTCTCTGATTTTTATTAGGTTTTAATTATTTGGTGTAAGCGTTGGTTTCCGTCAAAGATGACCAGCAAAGACTACACGCATCTTTACGTATTGCCTCGCATTATGGTAGGTTAAGTGATCTTTGATTTAATTAATTAAGTTTGAAGTCCAAAGCCCAAATCCAAAGCTAAGTCTGCTTGCTGGTCATGGTGCTTTATACCTCCAGCGAACATTGGTGGCATTTAAGTTGTTTATCCGGCTTAGATGTTCTAGTGTACTAAACGCTTACCACCTGTTTTTTGTAGCTCACTGCATCCCAAAGTGCCTTGAGGATACAGGTGAATGCAGCCTTGCCGACAAAGCTTGCATAATGACAACAGACGCATCATTGGGGGGTAAGTATTTATGCAACACATGATCCAGGCACAGGACTAGTCTTTTAAAAAGCTTTAACTCACATTGTTTTTCCTTTAAACAGTATGGAAAGGTGTCGGTTAATGAAACAGAAAGATTTAAACTGTCTCATGTTGTCGGTACAGCATTAACCAATATGGTAGCTTCTCAGTAAATCCTTTCCACAAAAAAAAAAAAAATTGGGCCTTGCGCGTAACTTTGTACAAACCTGTGAAAGTATGAACCCAAGTTCTTTCCACTGACTATCCCTATTGCCGAGTATAATATGTCTGTATCTTTAATAAATAGTTGTCATGCTCATTCAAAAGCATATTCCTGGAAAGGTGGCAATCTCCTTGCTACCGAGATGTCGGATTTAACGTTTGGTATATACCGTGAGTTAAATCTAGGTTAGGTAAACTTTAGGTTTACTCCGATCTTAACGAGAACCAAGCTAACGATCATTTAATAATAAAAAGTACATGACACTTTGAGACCACTTTCGAAAACCCCAGTGGGACACATTGGATGTACCGCAAGGTTCATGCAATGCAATTAATTGATTAGAGAAGTATCAAATATCACACTGTTCACATGGAATCTGCGATATAAGCGATATTAAAAAATGGATCTTAGGCCAAAAAAAAAAGTCTCCGGTTTCTGGTATGCGCGCGCGTCGCCGTAGCCATGCGCGCCGGCAAAATGAAAAAGGTTTTTTTTCAATACAAGATGATGTCTCAAAACCGCCAAACTCACTGGTTTGACTGGAATCCTGCTGCTGCACAATTTTAACGTGTTTTTAGATGGGGTTATGATCGAGAATAAGCTTTATGTGGCCTCTCTGGACTCCCATATATTTGCACTAAGTTTAGTCGGGCACCATTTGCAGTCATCAGCCGACATTTGAAGCCAAAAAAAAAAAAACCCAGGTAAAAAAAAAAAAAAAAAGCCGCGTCGCCGCATCACTTTTGGGGCAAGCTCCATACCAGAAACCGGAGACTTTTTTTTTGACTTTTTTTTTTGCCTTAACTGTTTTTTTCTTCATATTTAGATGATGAAAACCAAAAGACAGCACAAGCACCACAAGAGCTGCGGTATCGGGAGCCTGTTAAAGAAAAACCCGACGGTAGGTGAAACGATAATCAGGTTTTTGTGATAAGCATTTCAATTCCGTGGTAACTTTTTGATGTTTAAGATAAAAACTGTGAAAACACTTCGAGATAGAGTCTTATGGGATGGTAACAGGTTTCAGCCCGAATGCAAATTCCGGAATGAAATGCCTATGTTGAATTTGACGACAGTAATAACACGCTTGAGGGCGTCCTCACCAGTTAGGAACTTCCGGTAAGTGACTGCTGGGTAATTGTCTTGACAGATAGAACCCAGAGAAGCCCACACAAACAAAGGGATATTTGTATAATATTTTCTGGAATACTTATAAGCAATTATTTAATTGAAAATTCCGATGGCCAGTCAGAAGGGACATCCCTGAAGAATCTTTGACAAATGAAGCATTGACAGTAAAATAGATTAAAACTTTGAAGAACAAAATGAGCGCAAAATGAAGCACTCATATATTTATATCACAGTCTTGGTTCCTTTGCCAAAATTCTACAGTAGTCCTGAGTTTGTTTTCATTTGTTTTAAAGCCATCCAGGATCATGTAAATACATGTACTTGAAAAAGTATCTGCCGATTTTTATGACAGAAAGCTTCCTCGAGGTAAAGATGGGACTGATAATACCATGCAAGATTATTTCACATTTGAAAAGGTTTACCAGAAGCAAACAATCATTGGAGATACTTTTAGAAAAGGCTATTTTTCTTCTAGAAAACTACTTTTCTTCTTATTTAGATGTTGAAAACCAAAAGAAACCATTACAGCAGCTTAAAGAAACGCCCTCTCTGGAGCCTGTTGTTGAAGGACGACCCGACGGTAGGTGAAAACGATAATACCATCAAGGTGGTTGTGATAATTCCGTGGAAAAAAATCGAGAAAATATTCCTACTTAATTTCCGAAGTGAAAATGCCCATATTCTACAGATGAATGTGACTTCTTTCTGTTAACAAGTCAGCTGTATTTCTGCCTTCCAGGCCATTGCCATGTTTTCTGCGGCACGTCAGTGAGGACCTTCGACGGCCTGACTTACAGCTTCCCACTACGGTGTCGACATTTCTTGGCGAGCCTACCCTTGTACAACGTGGATTTCGTTACCGACTTCCCCTGCGGAAACAAGACGTGCAAGAGTACCGTGTCTATATCGTGAGTACACCTGTTGATATTGTAACGGACAGTTTATTCAGCACTTTTGTTGTCATTGCTTTCTTGTGCTAGCTAGGGCTTCGGCGGAGGGGCTCCGGCGGCGCGCGCCCGACCTGGTTTTGGGTCTGGAGGGCGTGCCCTCCGGAAATAGGCTCTATAAAATAGGTGAACATTAAAGGAGCGGCTCCACGAAAGGATTATAATCGTAATCGTAAGGTAATCCGCCAATCGTCACAATTAATCTTCCATATGAAGGACAAGTTATTAGTATTGTCGGATCTGGTGTCCCTGGTGAGAACCCCAATCCCGCCAAAAATAACAATACTAGTCCAGCGGACACTTTAAATCCTGCATGCTGGCCTTTTGCCGCCTATAACTGAGTAATGTGAATGTAAAGGTAATAAGTAGAAAGGTAAATTTGTGATTATATTTGCAATACGGCAAAATCACCATTCACATACATTTTGTCGCTACATGAAGATACTCGACAGCGACTGTGGATTTGCTACCAGATGGCATCGTACATGTGAACAAAAGAAGGGTCAACCTGCCATTTGTGACAGCAAATGGTATCACTATCTTCAAGGAAGGAGTGTACGTGGTCTGCCGTGCGATTGACGGTAAGGGGAATATAGACGATTTTAAAGAACAGAATAATATAAAGTAGCAACAACGCTATGTTAATGTCCAACTTCACGACTGACATCAAAATGGTGGCGTACGTAGGCGTACTATCAAATCACAGAATACCTCGTGCATTATTCGGGCGATTCAAAATGCAGTGCGCCACCAAGAGTTTGCCATTAAGAGTCAATTTTTCCAAGTTTAGGTCGACAAAACATGGCCCGTTAAAAAAATGTCAGTGGACAATTTTTGCTTTTTTGTTTAATAAAGATTTGGGCATAGCGTTCTACTGCCTTACAAAAAACACCATATTGATAAAAATCAAAGAAAGGGGCAAACAGATACTCGAAACATAAGCTTACGAAAATACTGACCGGAAAAACGAACAATTTCAAATGTCCCGCACTGCAAATTTGTCGACCATCTCCCACAATGCACTGGGAAAAACTCTCCAAGGCCAACTCTTGGTGGCGCACTACATAGTGAATCGCCCGAATTGCTATCAAATGAAGCGAGCAGGAGGGAGGGGTTGTTTGTTAATTATTCCTGGTTTGCAAACCATTTCCATTTTGACCTTCTGCCTAGACAGAGAGTGCCATCAAAGCTTAGATTCTTTGGTAGAACTTTATGGACCCTTTCGTTTTGAGTTAAAAGTGAGGCTGCAATGGCAAGCTTTGAATTTTTGAAAATTTGGAAAGCTTCAGATAAGGCACTGGTGTTTATTTTGACACAATATAGAGATCTGGTGCGATGATCTCTATTCCTGGCATAACACTACTGAGCCAAGTAAATAAACTGTTGTAATGTACGTGCAAGCTTAAGCATCAGCAAGCATGCCCTTGCCGAGAGAAATGGTTCTACGTCCATTCTACAGTGCTATGGAAATGACTCCTTGATAACACATTTACACCTATACACCAGTCGGGTGCATACCTATTATCCCCAATACCTTTGTTCCCCAATACATAAGTTACCTAACCCTAACCCTATAACCCCAACCCTCACCCTAACCCTGGCCCTAACCCTAAGAATTTCGGGGAACATAGGTATTGGGGAACGTAGGTATTGGGGAACATCGGGTAGACCCCCTCATAACCATTGTTTCTTGTCCATAATTATGCAGGTACTAAAGTGTCATTTGATGGTATCAGCGGTGTCGTCGTCGCTGTCAACAAACTTCATGAGTCAGCATGGGAAGCAACCGATGCCTACAGCCTGTGTGGTACCTACGACAACGATCCCACAAATGACCTCCGTGGCCACTCTGTCAAAGAATTTGCTGACGAAATCCTGGTTCCAGAAGACGGAGTTGTTTGCACAAAGCCAGGAGCAAGCCTCCTTAATCCGTTTGATAACCTCAACGCAGTTAACAAGGGTAGAGTCCTGAGGGCCTGTGACGAGTTTGCCACCGACCAGCTATTCCAGCATTGCCGGTCCCTGCACAACGTGCAGCCATTCTACAATTCCTGCTGGTTCACTCTGTCACTCGCTCTGCTGGAGGGCTCAAGCTTTGATCAAAGCCTGTGTGATGTCTTTGTCGAATACTCATCGTCATGCTCGCGGTATGGCGTACCTGTGGAGTGGAGGTCAACTAACTTCTGTCGTAAGCGTATTTCATTACTTTAAATTGCAAAATCAACTAAGTTGATCTTGAAATTTGATGTGAGTCCAAATATCCGTTCATAGGCTATTTGATCTTAAAGTTTCCTTAGGAAATGCATTTGAAAGGAAGGATTCGGTAGAAATAGTTCACATGATCGAGGTACTGTGCCAAGACTTTGGTAACAGCATGCTGCAGTAGCCACATCACATAACAGGTCTGGACAGCGCAAATATTAATGTACTTTTAAATCTATAAGTACTCACCTCCCTTGGATTTATTTATTAATTGTACCCGTTTGTTCTCTTTCTATCATCCCAGCTGTTGCTTGTGATCATGGCATGGTAAACACGGAGTGTGGATCCGCTTGCCCTCAGACCTGCGAGACACTTTTCTTTCATTCTAAGTGTGGGAATGAGTGCATTCCAGGCTGTCAGTGTCCACCAGGTAACTTCCCAAATAGGCCACATTGTAAGCAAATGAGGGTGCTGTGTAGTCTGAGTATCACCCGTTGTCCACGGAGCCCAGTCTCCTGTCTAACGTCTAATACAACTATGAAGCATGCAGATTCATGCGATCCCGCACCTCAGCCAATCGGAGTCGACTTTACTAAATCAGGACTAAATGTTTGATTGGTCAATTCGAATGCAGTGTTTTTATTATACAACAATAGCCGGGCGCGTATCGCATAATACAGAGCGCGTGACCATATCCTTTGATGCTGTGTCTATGGTATTTTTTTTTATCCATGTCTATGACGCGACAACGGGTGAATGACCGAAGCCCTGATAAAGAAAGCGCCCGCTGATTGGTCAAAATCTAGAGGTCATGATGCGGTTGTCTTGCATACTTAATCAGCGAATCAGTTCAAACATTCCGCCATGGTCTTTTACATAGACTAGGTGCTCCGTGTTGTGTGGAGATTAATATAAATTGCGAGATGATTTGTAGTTTGACAAGGTAAAAGATTCTCTTTCTGTTGTCACACTTGCCCCATTTTGTTTTTGCTTCGACATAAACCAGACACCTACTTTGATGGCGACGCCTGCGTTGCTAAGGAAAGTTGCCCATGTCCTCAAGCTGGTGAGAGTTATCCTTCCGGTGCCTTTATGAGGGACGGATGCCGAGATTGGTTAGTACTTTGAGATTTGTAATTTCTGCTGCAATGTGTTGTGCCTATGCAAATACATGTACTTTCGAAAAGAATAGTCGCTTCCTCGTACTGTTTTTCACAATCAAATCGTTTGAGCATGTCATTAACCAAATGACTATAGAAAATGAACACAACTGGGGAAAACATTCTTTGTTTCCACTGTCCAGGCGATAAACTATACTTTCTTGTTTGTTTGTAATGTAGTTCCTTTGCAACGCATTGAAGCTTGTTAAACATAAGTTTTCGATCTTTTGCCATTTTGGATCGTGATTCTTTCAACTCCCTCTCTTGAAGTGTTTGTTTCGAGGGGAAGCTCCAGAAATGCACGACACACGCCTGTCCTGCCACCTGCACCATCTTGGGAGGCCGCCATTTTAGCACGTTTGACGGCAAAAGCTACGAGTACCACAGCAACTGCAAGCACGTGCTCATCCAAAACGCGCCCGTCGACAGCCCGGCCTTTGGCATCTTCATGGCTAAGACGAAGTGTAGCGACGAGGAGTGGCAATGCAATGACGTTCCGGAAATCATCATCACAACTCCGGATGGTACTCAATATGAGTGAGTTCATTCCGAATCTTGCCATCGATAGCGATGAACATTTGAAGCTCATCATATCCATTTACTGATATAATTTGTTTTGGACTGATGCTCAAACTTAAGTTGGTTCGAGCAGTTAACTTTTGGAAGTTGAAACGTCTTTTAGCAGTGAAGCAGTCGAGTTCACGTTTGTAAGAAGATTATATTCTCGCACAAAAGTCCACAAAAGTCCATCACGAGTCCTCCTATCTCAAGTCAGTCACAAACTATTCAAATGAACTGTTACAAAGGCATACCTTGTTGTCATCCCCTATTACTTGTGACTGGACTTGCGATTCACTTTTGACTGGACTTGTGATATATACGCACAACAAAAAATAGGTAATGTTACATCAAAGGTGAGAATATTATGAGAATATTTTCTGAAACTTCAAAAATAAGAGCAAATGCGGTACATGTGCCATTTTTCTACAATGCAACAGGGTGAACATATTTTGTAAAAATGAAGACCACACACCAGTGTTGTAGTCGAGTACTTTTTCCGAGTACCGAGTACTGCCGTGTACTTAGGTTGCCGAGTACGAGTACTTGTACCTACGAGTACAAGTACTTGTATTTTCGAATACGGCCATACGGCAAATGGTTCATTGTGCCTAATTGGCCCAGGCCCAGCCAAACCGATATACAGACTCACTCACTGCTAGCTGTTTATAAAGGAAAGCAGGAAACTGTGATTTCTCCACAAGCCAATCAACCATTTCAAACTGAAAGTATCGATAAAGTAAGGCCGAGGTAAGTCAAGCTACACCATTTTCCCCCGAGTACTGCTATTAGAGTACGAGTACTTTGATAATCGAGTACAATTTCGACATGTCGAGTACGAGTACTTTGCTGCCCGAGTACGAGTGCCATCATTGCGAGTACGAGTACTTTGACATTGGAGTACGAGTACGAGAACAAGTACTCCAAAAAAGTACTCGAGTAGTACCCGAGTACGAGTACCGAGAACGAGTACTACAACGCTGCCACATGCATTGTCAAATGTAGGCTTATTTGGCTTGTGCCATTGAGGATGTCCAACCTGCATAAGGCCCCCCCCCCCCAAAAAAAATCGGTCTCTGGTCAGACCAAAGTTCCGGAATTGACGCGGGGACGCGGCTTTTTTTTTTTTTTTTTTTTTTCTTCAAGCTTGGATTGTACAGACAAGGTGGGGTACTATTTAGCTTTTTGGTGTCCTCATGTACATTGGTGTCCTCCATAATTTGCCTTGGCGCTCTCGATCATTTGCCTTGGTGCAATTTCCCATTCCTTGGTGCTCTTTGATAAAAAAAAAATGAGGAGGTGCGGCAATAGAGGGCGCTGTTGGAACTACCGCGGAACATTTTTGATGTCCCAAATGAAGGTATAACCATAACCCTGTTTTCCAGGGTTCAATACGCAAAATGACAAGTTCAACGCACATGATCTGTGCACTTTTTGAAGTAAATGTTGAAAACCTACATCTGTTCATGCCTGACAGACTTTTGGAAGCTGATACGGTGACAGTAACTGCCCATAACGCTGCAGCAGCCCAAGAGCTGAAGTTGCCATATTCTCGGACAGCCGACAACAGTACAATCACCATCACCCGTCTGTCGTCTGTTTTTACACGGGCGTCCATGCCAGTGCTTGGTATAGAACTGATGTTGGGAAGTGACAACCGCATCTATCTCTCAGTAACTGAGAATTTGTTTGGCAAGGTAAAATATCGTTGAAAAACGTGATTTAATAACCCGGAATTTTAGAGTTAATTACTAAACAGTCGCTCTTAACTTTTAGTTTTAGAAAGCAAAGAGACAGGCTGAAAGGACAAAGATTGTAAGAACTTTGAGTGGAAACAAATCTACGTATCCAATGAGAAAAACCTTGCTCAATGTGACTGGTAACCAGACCAAATTAGTGTTCTTTAAGAGCGTGCCCAAGAAGATTGGGATCTTCATCGTTACATACACTAACCGACTGAATGAGAATTATGTCCGAGGTGTTTAAAATATGAGAGAACATCCATTGAATCAGAGGCACAAGACCCAAAAATGTTGCACAGTTTTTCTCTGTTTCTGACAGTGTATATTACACAGTGAGTTGGGTAGTAGTCCTACACTTCACTTGAGATATTGAACAATATTTTGTTGCTTTACTGAGAAAAAACACCGACAAACAGCCAATGATCCAGTATAATAAGCATCTGAGTACTTGGGTTCTGTAACTCTATATTAATGATATATTTTGGAAGTATTTGAAAACAAAACGAGAAGGCTTAAGAAGGTTTAAAACCGGCTCAGGGGCCTGATCAGCGTCCTGGCCCCTGAGTACTACTAAAATAGTACATTCATGAAATAAAACACAATTAGTGGCTGAGCATGGCTTCTGTTTGAGTCAACCACTGTACTTTGTTCACATTGTAAAGTAGTCGAAATAACGATAGGAGCTTCTCTTCCCAAAGGTGGAAGGCCTTTGCGGAACCTACAACAGAATAACTGCCGACGATTTCCAATTACCCAACGGAGTTGTTGCGAGGGTATCGCACCTCTTTGCTCCCAGATGGAAGTCAAACTCCCAATGCAAAAACACCCGATTCGAGGAGATTTTGGACTACTGTGAAAAGAAAAACAGCCGCAGAGACGAAGCTGAAAACACCTGCAGTCAATTGACAACAGAGCCGTTCAAAGACTGTGGCCTTAAGGTCGACCCCAAGGCCTACCTGGAGATGTGCAGGGACGTCCGTTGCAAGGCCCCTTACTATAAAGGGACTGAGTGCCTGGCCTTTGCTGCTTACGCTCTGGAGTGTGCTAAAATGGGTGTTGTTATTGACTGGACAAGCCAGGATCTCTGCCGTAAGTTGCTATGACTGAGATCACAGAAAATTCAAGTATAGGTTCACTGCAAAAGCTGTTGTAAACAAACGCTATTTGGTATATAGGACCGCACATGGGTTGTTTCAGTACACGCGTGTTGTGAAAAGAAAATTTGTATAGTTTTATATTATTTTATATATTTTATATGTACACTATAATGGCACTGGAGTAAGAGGCATTCGGGTCATAGTTTTTTTCAGGTATCTTTTCTTTACTCCAGGCATGTGCCACTAATTTGTTTTATTGAATGTTGTTGGTATTGTCTGCATTTTATTGTATTGTTATACCGAATAAATAATAATAATAATAATAATAAAAGTATCTAAATAGGACCGTGTTGATACAGAGTGTTCCCCAAAAAACACGCAACATTCAGAAAACAAATAAATACAACTGTTTAATGTTTTTCTTCAATGAAATTATATATTACATTAAAGCCTGACTATTTCTCAATCCACTCCTTTTTACCCCATTCCATCTGGGTCTCTAGATCCAGAAATACACTCAGTTAAGTAAAAGGGTGTACATTTTACTTGGGCCACTCTCACCTGGACATGCTGAATCTGGGCTAAGCATTGAATAGGCATTGAGTAGGCACTGAAGTGACATCACAGGTGAGAGTGGCCCAGGTACAATTTACACCCTTTCACTTAATATTGCTTAAACGTTATATACGTCTCGTATAGATACACAGGTTCTCTATAGACACACACTTTCTATCCAGTTCCTATATCAATACAATGTCGTAACATCCCAGTTTTGGGGATACTGATAGTCGATATTTTGCGTTTCATTGCCTCAATAGTTTTTATCACAGCCTATAATAATAAAAAAGGTAACAAGGACACAAATAGTTGGAAGCGGGACCTTTAAAAAAATAGACATCCCTAATTAACTTTCGAACGTAACCCTTTTTCTTTCTTAGCTGTTACATGTGAAAAAAGGTAACAAGGGCACAATTGAACCTAATTGGAAGCGTGGCCTTTAAAAAATAGGCTACCCTGATTAACTTTCGAACGTAACCCTTTTTCTTTCACAGCTGTTACGTGTAAGGGTGGAAAGGTGTACAAGGAGTGTGGCTCCGTGTGCAAGGTGTCTTGTCGAGATCTGGGGAATAGAGATGACTGCCAAGAACAGTGTGTCCAGGGATGCCAATGCCCCAATGATATGGTATGAAACCCATCTATGATTAGCAAATTTGTATACAGCAGTATACGTTCTGAGGCTCAAAGACATGAACTTCTTTTCATGTAAGAAAAACGTGATTAGTTGATCTTGCATATTCCTCAAAGTATCACATTTTTTTTCGGACCAGCTGTTTTATCTGTCATGGTTTTTTGGTAATTCCAGTTCAGTTACAAAAAATGCAAAAAAGATGTGCGCCTCCTATACAGCTGTAATAAATGAAAAACTCGAACTAAATTTCTTGGGTAGACTACTTTATCGGGACGCATCCTTGGCCCCATGATTTTGAATGGATGTGTTTGATAGTTTAGATGCAGTGGAATTTCAGAGGTGAGTTTTAACTTTGCAGCGTGATAATACAACAGATGCAGCTGCATAGACGCAGTTTTATGCGGAAAAATGGGCGTACAAGCACGTACGTGCGCATTGTTTGCGTAAAGCAAAATGGGACACTCATTAACTGATTAACAATCTACTTACCAGTTTTGAACACAAATAGAGATGTACGAATAGCCGTACAAAGGCCGTACGAAACGTTTATCTTTTCAATAAGGTTGTGCCCAGAAGGCTACAGCATGCACAGAGTAACAGCTGCCATAGTAATTTAATATGTAGCTCTATATATGACCCCTTTGCTTCTCCATGAAGTCGGCCATGCAAACTGTCTAAACTGGTAGTTCCTTTAATTTAATTTTCCAGGTCAGACTTTGTAATCTTAACACCAATTTCATGCTGCTTATTTGAAAAGTTTGAATGCATCTCAACGACAGTTTGACACATATTGCCTATGACGTCAATCATGCTTTGTCGTTCTGCCAACACTTAAAAAATTGGCAAACAAATAGCTAATATGTCAGTTGCATAACCCTTTTTTTAATCAAAGCATTTTTTGTTGCAGATGTAAATTTGACTTCAAGAGATATTCACAAAGAAATGGTTAAACTAAATATGTAGATTCACAGTACGAGTATTTTCTGTCACAAATTCACTTTTTGCATTCATTTTGTGCGTGACGTGCGAACCAGTCTGCAGGAGTAATGCACATTTTGCTATTGTTGTAGTTTGGTTGACATCTGATATTTGCGTAGTTATCTAAAGATCCTTTCATTTTTGTATGCTCTCACCAAAGGTATTCAGCGAACGATTAGACAAGTGTGTTCCTGTACCAGAATGCCCATGTCATTTCAATGGACGTGTTCATGCGCCTGGGACATCATGGAATAATATTTGCAACAAATGGTGTGTACATTTCAAACAGAAAAGTCTTGTCAAGTTCCATTTTTTCCACTTTAGCCAATTTCTCAGGTTTAAACCACAAAGGGAACATAAGTAGGTGCAGATCTTAATTTTAAAAAGTTGAACAAAGAAATTGAGCGGAGTGGGGCTTGAACCTCAATATCTTTGTTCAACTTAAAAAAAGTCGAATACATGTAAATCAGAAAAGAAAGAAAGAAATGGCTCATATGATTATGCCATCTGCGTGTCTTATGGACTAAATGATGCAACCCTGTATTTTGAAAAACCGTCCTCAGACATTCAGTGAGCAAAGTATCTCGGTCTAATTCCTTACATCTTTAAGTTTAATACAAAAAAAAATAAGAATGAAAGCATTAAATGACAAAAAGAGAACCCGAAAGATCTTCGGAGATACCAGAAAGGAACAATAGTGACATGGAAACTGTGCAGCTAGGGGAAGGGAATCAGCTTTTATCGTGGAAACTATTTGAATGCTATTTTCCAGGTTGATATGTAAATTGGCTCTGTACACTTTTTTTTTCAGCTCCTGCAAAAATGGTGTTGTTCAGTGTACCGATAAAATCTGCACTGGTAAGTAAATCTGTGGTAAATCGGCGACCAAAAATCTTCATCCAGCAAATTATTCATTCAAGCAAATAAGATTCATGACTTAGTGGAAATGACCAAATAGTGAACACTTCGTGAATATTTTAGATTTCATTGCTATGATTTAACAGGATTAATAGATTACAGAACGTGAAATAATTACATATATTAGTTATAGTATCATTATGAAGGATGTCTATTACAAGGCTCTAAGAGGGCCACTCTATAAATTTCGTCGTATTATCGTACCGCTTGAATAGAAGCTGACATTTTTGCTGTTGACAAGAGTGCGCGTATACCCTGCTAGTGCTGCGCGCTGCGTCCAGCGAAAATGCCCGGATGACTGCAATATCAATATTATTGCAGTCATTCAGGTACTCTATTGACATAATATAGCAGTCATCCGGGTACTTTTTACGAAAGCATACAATACGCTGATTAATTTTTACCAGTGGAAGCCTGATACAAATAATGAGGTGCCATAGTTCTTGAATATCAAACTATCTCAGCAATCAGAAAGTGACTTACATTTATTCCAACATAATAATTGTAGCCGCAGGTGAGGAATGCACGGGAAGCCAGGAGAACATTGAGTGCGTTGAGTGCCAGCGTGAATGCCAAAGCCTGCACCTGACCTGCAGTGAGACCGATTGCACCCCAGGCTGTGGCTGCCCAACTGGTACCGTCCGCACCGCCGACGACCAGTGTATGCCAGAGAGTGACTGCCCCTGCTACTTTGATGGGCGAAGCTACGAGGATCTTGAACCTTTCCGTGTCGACTGTAGGAGCTGGTAACAACATTTACATTTTACACTTCCAAGTTATTTGCCAAGTTGTTTACTCTAAAGTACAAAATCGTCTAGATTTTGTTGGGGTCCATACGGTTGAAGACCTGTTATAAGTTGTTCCGTACGTCCAGGTTCAATCTGCTGAAAACAGTTGGAAACCAAAAGTGTATAATTTACACAGCACTGTATGAATTCAACTGCCTTCCAGAAAATATTGTTTTGTATATATTGCTGTGATGCTTGATAGGCATTTACCTTCATATTGTTAAATATAAATATCATGTGTGAAGGCTCCCCTGAATGCTAGTAAACTTAGCTTTTAATGTTTAATGTATTATTTTGGTGGGGGAAAGCACAATTATATAAAAGTACAGGCCTATAATTTCAAATGTTAATTGTTTCTTATGAAATCATAACCATAGGTGTTGTCGCTGTTACCTTGACACGATGATGTTGCAATGATGATAACCTATTTGTAACAGACATGCCTGAGTTGACCAGTCCTTGGTTTGTTTCAACGTCACGTTTTACGACAAGCCCAGCTGTGAACTATAAACATTTCAAAATAGCCAGAACTTTAAAATGCTGCATGCCATCTTTTAACAAAAGCAACCATCAATAAACTTGCAGAAGTGATCACCATGCAGTTGCCGATGTCGTCACCAGTTTTGTTGAAAAGCAATCGTAGATAAAAAAAGAAAAGAAACAGAAGAAGCTCAAAACCACCTTGGCTAGATCCAAAACAAAGTGACAGTTAAGACAATAATAATAACGGGTACTTTTATAGCGGTGTTAAGATCAAGGCACTTCACATTATTCTTACCACTTGACAATACTTTATTACAGTGTTTAATCTATTCTGGAGAATGTAGACTCAACTACGGAATCTCCCGTGCCTAATTCACCTGTAATTTTCTTTTTCTTAGTGTATGTCTCTTCGGTCGAATAATATGCAGCGCCGAAGTATGCCCAGGTTAGTAATGAATACTTCAATGGTCAAAATGTAAAAGGCACCCGAAATAAGCTGTTGCTGTTATATGACTCCCCTTTCGTTTGTAATCTATAGTTCGCCGCGAAGCAATGGTTGGTGGTACAGTCCAGATGCATTACTGTCGTATTCCAACTAGCAATACTGTTGTCGAAATGCTGGAATTCTATATCTAACTTATAAGCACCTTATTTTTTAGGATATGTGCATTGTTTCAATAGGCTCTCTTACCCATGAAAAAACGCCAAACTCTTATTATTTTCTATTGGCCAACGGGGAGTATTCGCTTTTGGTATTAGCTGATCAATAAGACAGGGCCGTATTCTGTCAAATTTTAAATTTTTCTTGTTATCTTTTTTTCACTCAGCAACATGTCGAGGATACGGAGAACCCCATTACATGACATATGATGATCGGCATTACGAGTTTCAGGGTAAGCGTCAATTATACTAGCTTCTGATTAGGGTATCTTGACGGTGGATAATTGACAAAAGTCAAAAACATACGAGGCAGTTGGAGTGGAAACTATACATTTCGCCTTTTTTACGCTTTTTTAAAAACTTTTTCTTGCCGTTTGTAATATTTGTCCAAAAGAGCAATTTGACCCAGTGTCAAAGTGAAATATTATCTACTTTCTTAAATTTCGCAGTTAGACATTTGACAAAATCATGCATTCCAAGGTTTTGTCGTTTTTACAAAGGGCAACATATTTTGTCTCCTCTTCCAAACGCGCGTTTAATGTTCTCACACAGTGACAAAAAAACCAAATCACGTTGTTAGCAGGGATCATGTAGAATAAATAGATCGGCAGCGCGTGCACATGCACCATTCGCTGTACGCCATTTTTGTCGTTTATCACGGAGGAGCATAAAGGTCATGTGCTGGAGGCCACTGCAAAACTAGAGGGTGCGTTCGAGCGTGTTACTCTTGCCACTCCCAAAGTGCCCTGTCACGCACTAAACGAACGAATAAAAGGAACAGCCATTAATAGGAACCGCCATGGATTTCACTCACGTAATATCATGAGTAAAACTGAATGATTTATCAAAACGTAAAGAAAATGATGTGCTTCCTTCTGCACGTGGGATCCTTTCACATAATGGTTTTGTATGGTTTCCTAGGTGATTGTAACTACGTCTTTACAACGGACGAATGTGGCATTGCTGGTAGAAAAAGTATCTTCAGTGTAGTCGTGGAGAATGTTCCCTGTGGTGCAGGCCAGGTGGCCTGCACCAAGTCCGTCCTGTTCACCCTGCTTGATTTGCAAATATCCATGGTGAGGGGCTCAGATATTGTCATCACCCCTGCACCACCTGCACCAACAGAAGCCAAGTACAGCATATTGCACTCCGGCATCTTTTTCATCATCAATACCAAGCACGGTGAGTGCTATCTAATACCTACTTCTACGTGGTTTCAACCAACTTTTCCTCAAAGACCAATTCATTATGGGCACACTCATAATTTGGGATTGGTGGCCAGGGCTAACACATTATTTTAGTTTTGACTGGCCACAACGTATTAAGAAAACAGGGAGGGGGTTGGACCTAATTTGACCACTGGGTCCAAGTTCATGGCTCTGCGTACCGTTAGCGAAAAATCCCTCCTTACTGTACCAAAACAATCCGTGCTTACGGTATGCATATTTAACGGGCTAGCGAGGAATTCTGACTTCTGCACATGCGTACATCTTGTTACAAGGATTCTGTGCCTACTATAGGTTAGCGCAGATGTTCTTTCCTGCTAGCGCTGAAGGCATATAATGGTGCTCGTAAGCGCGTGTGGTAAGCAGAGCCATGAAATTGGGCGCCGGGAAATAGAAGATTGGGGGGGGGGGGGGGAGGCCATTGCTTCTTTCATGGCGCGAAAACTAAACCGTATAAAGTGTCATCTCAAATCACTTGATACATTTCAATCACGTGATAAGTTTCACGCAGGTGTTCCATGGTAAGTCACTATCAGTTGGAAAACAAAAAAAACACTCGGGTGCGTTTTAGACCCCGTTCTATTGGTAGTAACAGACGGACACACTGCAATATACCTCATCTAATGAAGGAATGATTCTCAGAAGGAACAATACAATAACCTCACGTAGTGACAGTTTAACGGTATGTCCAGTTTAATGGTATTAGGTGTTGCTATCATTCCTCCTGCAGGGATCACAGTGGTATGGGATTTTGGCATGTCAGTCTACGTCACATTGGACGGCACCTTCAAAGGCCAAGTCTGCGGCCTGTGCGGCGATTTTGACAAAAATGCTCAGAACGACTTCCGTACCCGGACTGGCGAGTTGGAGGCCACGGCTAACGCCTTTGGCCACAGCTGGAAGACTATCGAGAGCTGCCCTCTACCCCCGGCTCCAGTCCACCCTTGTGATTTGAACCCCGAGCGACGTGAATGGGCGGAGAGTGCTTGCAGCATCATCACCGAATCTGGCTTTGCGTCCTGCCATGATTATGTATGTCACATGCAGTCACCATACCGTAAAGTTATTTTCAGAGCCCCTCAGTATTTTTTGAAAACACAACTTACAGGCTTTAGAACTGTATAAGGAACATACAGCATGGAAAATGTTTTGTTAATAATTTTCAGCTATGGAAGATAGGGGCCTACAAGCTGGTGTGATCTTACTGAAATCGACGGAGGGAAGTAAATCTTGTATTTATTTTTGTTGTTTGAGAATGTATGAATATAATACAAACTCCCCTTGTCTAAATCTTTGTTTGAATCCTCTTTAGTACAAATGCAATACGGAGACAAATATTAATGTGTTGTAGTTAGTGCGAACTATTTTTGTCTGTTTCGGCAACCGGCCAAAACAGCCTTTGTTTCGTTAAAGTTTAAAACGTCGGGTGCCTGGAAGAAGGTCGTACGGGCGAAAAATTTGTCAAAAGGTCAAATTTGGATTTTTCGGGTAACCGATAGAGCTTGGAAATAGCTTTCATTGGATGTACATTTTGTCTCAAGAGGCTACGTCATTCTGACGTAGTTAACAGTAAACAAAGGTCTTCAGGTTTTTCCATTATTTATGTAATTCTAATGTAACAAAAACATATTCCAGGCGCGCTACGTCCCACTCAAGTGGGTACGCAAAGCCAATTTTGTTCCCGGCAAAAGGTCGTAAGGATTTAACATGCCGCTTAAGCTTACGTTTAAGGCTTGGGAAGTTCCCGGTAAAAGGTCGTTACCATAACAATTGAAATAACTTCACAATTAAGTAATATTGTAACATAAAAATGCACAACATTATTTTAATTAGTAACGAATTTCATCAGCCAAAATTTCAACCTCATGTGATTTATAATTTAGAACTGGGAGCACAAAACCTTCCAACTCGATTATCTCCAAAAGTGCCTTCCGCGTGCCTGGGCTGCGTACGTACGACCTTTTCCTTGTCACACGATAAAGTTGCCCAAACAGCCCTGTGTTTTTCCACAAACATAAGTCTAGTTCTCTTTGTTACTACTAAAGGCTGACCCTAAACCCTTCTACGACAACTGTGTCTTCGATAGCTGTGGCTGTAACCGTGGGGGTGATTGCGAATGTATGTGTACTGCCGTCAGTAATTACGCAGCTGTTTGCGCCATCTTGAATGCACCAGTGCCATGGCGATCCGATGGCAACTGTGGTAAGTTTTGTTCGGGCCATAATCCGCGACCAAGCCCCTAGTCAATAAGTCAAAACGATTTTAAAATACACAAATTTCCAAAGATTTTGTTCAACGATTCGACTTTTTTTTTAAACGTCACGGCTATCGTTACGGCAGCCGTAACGCGATTTTCAACTGTCATCCTGACGGTATTGCAAAATCACCATTGCGAATCTATTTCACATTTATCACGAACATTTGACACCCAAAATGCTGATTCACGTGCCAATTTTAAAGCACTGACGTCATTTGAGAGCGATCTATTTATGAATGTTGGATAAAGTGCACTTGACATTGAACTTTCTGAAATTCATTATCCTAGTTTGCTTGATCAGTAGTTGAAATCCAGTGATGAAACTGCAACCGTTTGATGCAGGTTGTACATTGAAACGGAACATGGAACTCTATTAAATACCGGGTACTAATACAATTTCTCACATATTTTGTAGGAAATCGAACTTGGTGAGACCATTCAGAGGTGGAAGTCACAATATAAGCAACATACTGATTTTGAAATTCACAATCCATCCATTTTTAATATCCGATGAAATATCACAAGGTTTGACAAGATCAGTGATTTTGTGTTATTTTGGTGGAATTGTAATGTGCACTTTTGAATAAATGCATGCATGACTTCTTTAGAAAACAAAGGGGCTAAGACAGCGGATGTGTATTTAGCGTGTATGTCCGCATTGAATACAATATTGACAGTCTTTTCTTCTTTGCAATACATGTACACACAAAAAAGGATTGCAGTGTGACAATGGCATGGAGTACCAAGCCTGCGGGAAGGTATGTCCTGATAAATGCTACGAAACCCCCCAGGAGGAAGATAATGGTTGTGAAATGCATTGCGTGGAGGGCTGCCACTGCCCCGAAGGCACCAAGCTGTGGAAGGGCGAGTGTGTGGATGACATCCAGTGCCCATGCATGTACAACAACCAAGAGGTAGAGCCAGGATTCGTTATCATCGAGGACTGTAGGAGATGGTAAGTTTTCACTTGGTCGGTCTTCCAAAGGCCCTGTGCCCGCTTGTCTATTCCACACAATCTTGTAAACTTTTCAAGTTTACGGTCGACAAAACCTGGCCCATTTGAATGAGTGTCAGTAGACAACTTGGGCTAACTTGTTATAGATTGCGGCATAGCGTTCTGCCGCCTTACCAAAAATCAACATATTGATAAAAAGAAAAGAAAAGGGCAAACATTTACTCGAATCGTACGCTTACGAAACTACTGAACGGATAAACGAACAATTTCAAATGTCCCGCGCTCCGAATTTGTCGACCATCTCCCACAATGCACTGGGAAAAATGAACTCTCCATGGCAAGCTCTTGGTGGCGCACTGCACTGTAAATCGCCCGAATTGGCTCGTGACAGACTTCAATACACACTCCATTGGCAAATTCTTTGTACTGGGACTTACAAAAGGCAATAATGCTAGTTTGTATTTGAATGTGTATGTAAAGAGAATGAGATGTCTTTTCAGGACGAATATGTCCGTTTGTTCAGTTGTTCGCGACAACTGATTTTGACAAAATAATGACGGCTGATTATATCCGACCCATTGTGCCCTACAGCCAATTATGTCCAGTGCCTGATTATGTCGAGCGCACGATTGTGAGCACCAGAACATTAAAGTAACTTTGCCATTTCATTTAAATATCGGCCATTTAACAAAATTGCCATTTCATTTAAATGTTGGTCGTCGGATTAATGGACATTATCTGCCGTCGGACATAATGAGTCGTGCATCATCGACCATCGGACACAACGGGTCGGACATAATCGGCTGTCATCGGTCAAAATCCTCTGTCGGACAAAATGGAGAAAAAACGGGCGTAAACGGCCTGGGTAGACGTCATCCAACGTTAACATCAGAATTGAGAGTTGACGTGTGTTCGGGAACTGTTGCAAATTCGCGGTGCATATATATTATATAGGCCTACCAGCCATGACGTCACGAATTCATATTCATATTTACGTCGAACACCGGTCTTGAAGTAAACGATGGCTGAGCTGAGATGTATCCTTCTTTATCCTCTAAACCTCTAAAATCCGCCAAAGAAATCTCAGTCTAATTTTTAAAAACAAATGATGGAATGATAGCCGTAAAGAAAAATAGCTGTGAAGATAAGCGGTGAATCAATGGCAATCTCAAGTTATAGTCACAAAGGTTGAGCGCAGCTTCAACTGCTGTGATTGGGAAATAAAAAAAATAATGAATATTACTGATACCTGTTCGCTTTATTTGTGTGGTATTTCTCAGCGAATGCATTGGGGGCAACATAACATGCAGCGGCTCTTCATGCACAACTCCACGTGAGTCTCCTAGCTATTTTGATATTTTTGACGTATATGAAAGTTAATTGCCACTTATTTTGAAATAGGTAGCTTGTTGGCGTTAGAGTTCTTAATCGAGAGGCGAATTGGAGTACGCACAGGACATTCACAGTTATTTGTCATTTATCTCGAATATAAGTCAACTCTTTGTATTCACATTTAATCAGTGCCGTAGCCAGGAATTGTTCAGTGGGGGGGGGGGGGGGGGGGGGGGGGGGGGGGGGGGGGGGGCGCTGGAACATTTCATGGAGGGCGTCATGTAGATCAATGATAATTTTTTTAGAAACTCAAAATCTCAGTGGGGGGGGGGGGGGCGACTGGGGGGGGGGACAAGGTTTCATGGGGGGCGGTCGCCCCCCACGCCCCATCGTGGCTACGCCACTGCATTTAATTGCCTGACAGTCACACCTAGAACAGGTTAAAAAAACCCGTCAAAGTACAGTACAGGGTGGTTCACAAAAAAAGGACACCCACTTTTGACAGCACTTTTCACCTACCTAATGAACGTATTTTAAATATTTTTTTCACATAGTAGTAAAGTATAGGCCTTTAATCATGCATGGTGAAAAAAGCTCAGTAAAAGTCGCAAAAATAGTGATATTATGCTAATTTGAAAATAAGTCACCAAAATCAGTCTTGTCCACGGGTTATTCTATGTAAATTGGACGTTTTTGTAAGTTCATGAAAATTAAAAAACCTTCCCACTAAAATTTGTTTTGCACTGGTAACTTTTATTGAAGCTGTCCAATTATTCATGTTAGTGTTAAGATCGTCTTCTCAATGAGCTGTCGGCTTAAGTTCATTGTTGCATAACTTTACATAACAATCAAATGTCATGCCCTTCCAAATGTTAAGATGGGCTTCATTGTTAGCGCGTTTTTTTCAAATGATAATGTTCAAGCATTCTTTGGTGCATTTCGTGTTGAGAGAACATGTATATCTCCGTGGACAGACAGGTTTCGCACATGAAATGTTCAAATTAGCATAGCTCAACGACAAAATGTGTAAATGCGACGATTTTTTTCGCCACATTTGCTTAAAGGCCAGGACTTTAATAGCTGCTAATTGACAGTTAATTTTTTTTTAAAACAGGTGAAAATTGCTGTCAAATGTGGGTGTCCTTTTTTTGTAACCACCCTGTACAGATCTGTGTTTGTACTGATACAATAACTCAACCCTCATCAGGACAGTGCAAACAACGACTACAAGGGAGGGAGTAGTTACTAGATTTAAGCTTTTATAGACAGTTGCTGAATTAAAAAGGTATTCTTTATGAGACCAAGTTATCAACAATTTTAAATCTTTGTGTGTGTTTATTTTTTCCAATAACTCGACCCACATCAACGCAAACAGCAATTACAACTACCGAAGCGGTAACCAAGGTCACCACTACAACGGCTGAGCCGACAAGTACCACTAAAGGTATGCTGGTTCATAAAATATTGGTTGTCAATGTTTATAAAACAACAACACAAACACATTTTTAACCCCTTTTTTTCCTCGACGCCCAACACATTCATGCTACACTGTGGAAATCAATGTAAAACATTAAAACAATTCCATAAAGTAAAACATTTGTATGTACATTTTTATCTTGAATTGAAAGAAAGATATACGTTCATGTTATTTCATTGGTCTAGAACGGCCATTATGTAGCGTATAAATTACCTCATAACTGCGTTGCATACCGGTATATACAATACCACTGCCTAGGCCTTACGCGTTGAGCGCGTGTGTGTATAGGGCCGACCCGCGCGCCTCACGACTGATAATTGCAACCGCTTAGTTTACACATCCGGCAGGAATGCCTGAAGTTATCAAAGGCCACAACGCAGTGATTTACTATATATCTAACTGTGATCTGTTTCACGGTGCCCTGTGGAAACATGTGCACAATACGGAACAAAAGATTGTATACGTCTCCACAGGGCAATTTCTACAGGTGAATCGTCTCCACAAGGTTATCATAAAATAGATTTATGGATTTTACTCAAAAACTAGGAAAATCCAAGGTGTGTTGATCCGTTGCAAATTGAAGTATTTTATGTAAGGGATATTAAGTCCGAATTTCAGCCCAGGAAATTAATTCTGGTTAATAAAGGAGCATTTTGAAAGTATAATTTCAAACTCGAAAACTTTAGTACACGAGAACAAAGAAATGATTCCACAAGGATACAAATTGCAGTATGTGTGATGTCAGATATGTTATTTTGTAACCCCCTCGGGTGCAAAGCGCCCCGTGCATCACCACAGGTGCTATGTGCTCCTCGGGTGTTTACCCCTTAAGGACGGGGTGTAATGGGGACATTCCTCCATACATAAGGCAAGTGACCCGAATGACTGCACAGCCTTTGTGTGATAGCGGGACTGCACAAAAGCAGCAGCTGGAGAACTACCCATTGGCCGCTTGTCACGGCATACCACAGCTGGCAACTGCATTCCAGTGAGGATTAGCAGCCGCGGCTATAGCCGCTCCCCGTCTCTGAGGGGTTCAAAACGCATATCCCACAATACATCAGTCAACATTCCTTGTTCAATGGCACATGCGAATCCAACTTACCTAATGGATATGAACATAACTTCTTTCCGGTATTTCTTACATGAAATGGGATATTTATTTGACTGAAAAGATACTCTATTTTGAAAATGTGTGCCATGTCGTATTCTTTAACAGAGCTTACTGCAACAGCTGCCCCGCCTACACCTGGACCCACAACGGCTTTACCATGTATGTACTATTGTAACCTTCAATTGCATCCATTACATGAAAACAGGACCAAAAGGACCCCTTTGACATAAGAGCGGCTGCATTTACATAGCCCACGTAGTCATATGATTTTGAAGAAAAATATGAAATGACCACTGAAGTTTTCTTTTTATGTTCGTGTTATAATTGCCAACTTCTTGTTTTTCATACTTTCTATTTTTTTTTCTATTTGCTTAACATTCAAAAGTAATGGCAGCGTAGATTAGGTTGATTCTGTGAATTGCAACCCTAAACTTTACAGAGATCAAAATACATCGGAAACTTCATTGTCGTTGCAATTTTTTTTATTTTTTTTATTGAAGTTTGCCAGTATCCATTCCTGACGGATCCAGACGGGCAGACTGCACGAAATATTTCATTCTTGAAGGAGCTTAAACCAGAGCTGGTTTGGGTCAACAATGACACATCACTAGGGTTACTCAATGGAAAACCGTATAACTTTACTGCAGACATTGGTGTAGTTCAAGTGAGTATATCTTTACTGCTGGAGAAGGTTTTACATCCATTTATCAGTCAAACAATATTGTCAACAGATATTCTTTTGTACAGCTCAAACTCGTCGTCTCTGTTGATTTGGTATGACTGACTAAGTGGTTGTGGGGGGGGGGGGGGGGGCTCGCTGGGGATGTATGGGTGACCAGATGGACTTTTGTTTTCTCTGTTTCTGTACGTCCCAAGCAGACGTCCCTGTTGATACTATGAGCGTTCAACTTATTACAGGTTTGAGTGTCTCGACAAGTTGACCTACATGGGAGCTTGCCCTTTTCCCTTACCATATTTATAAAATGGCACCCTCGGCATTGCCTTGGGGGTGTCGTTTACCCCCTAGGGTGAGCAAAACACCATAGACCATGTGACAGCAGGCAACAATAATGTATATTATATAACCGACATACAGATCCTTGTCATTTGATTGGTGGAACTGACATCACCTGACATTCGTTATTACTCCCATTCACGCCGTGGCTCAAAAAGTCCCATTCACCCATGGGGAATGGGAAAAACTATAGACCGCTTGCAGACGCGTTCGATAATTGACGCGCTAAGGAGAGCGACGCCATGTTATGGGACAAAATGTGCGTGAATTGATATGCCTGTCCCACAACATGGCGTCGCGCGCCTTCGCGCGTCGATTATCGAACGCGTCTGCAAGCGGTCTATTGAACAGTTAGGATCGATGCTTGTTCCATGACGCGGTATTTGTGTACAAATGCATGCTGGTGTACGCGTTCAGCGTTGCGCGTAGCGCGCATTGTTCCAAAGAGCCAGCGCTACAGAGTTGGGTTCAAACATTTTCGTGAAGTGGTGTTTTGGAAGAGAGAAACACATTTTCCACCAATTTTGTATTGAAATAAAAGATCAAGTATATCAAATGACAAGGATTTACATGTCAGTTATATAAAACAAATATTGAGTGGCTTTAAATAGTGAAATGGTAAGAATATTATCGCTCGGTAAAATCTGGCCTTTTCCAGTTCACGAGGCAAAGGAAAAGTCCAGATTTTACCTTGCGATAATATTCCTCCTAATTCACTCTGAGCCACTCAATATTTGTATACCACATACCACTCGGCCTGGGGCCTCATGGCATATGGGACACAGACGCACTACAATTATTGTTGCCTGCTGAGTCCATGGTGTTTTGCACAGCCAAGGGGACAAATGGCACCCGAGGCGAAACCCATGGACCCCGTCACATCACAGCAGGCAACAATTTGTTGTTATGTTATACCACGGTTACCGTAATATTAAACGTCAGAAACCATGGGCCTCTTTCTGTTGCGGTACAGAATTGGCGAACTTTTCGCACAGAGTTGTTTGGTATTTTTTTCGTGCTGATGCTGTCCTGTTCAAAAATCGAATTTCTGATCTCGTCTTTGGAACGAAAGAGAAACCTCTTTTTTTAATTGGAGGCGACCTGTTGTCATCTACAGACATTATTACGGTGAAATTACGGTGAATTACAGTGAAATTACGGCGAAATTTGAGCCGTTTAAAAAGCAGACGAACAGTGACAAACGATGTAAACAACAATGGCGGTCATAGCAGAAATATTGCTTCACTGTCCCCCATGGCATATCTCGTAAAACATACATTGATTTACGTAGTGACAGCGTAGCTACAACCTCGTACCCGAGGTCACACAAATATAATATAACGCGGTTGAGACGACATTTTCAACAGCGGGAAAGACAAAGGTAATGTACCCCGTGGATAACATCACTCATGCACCACGCGCGCGCGGCGTACAACGCTGTTCATGCGTGTTTGTGGCATGACACGTGGTCGATGATGGACCAATAAAAATGCACAATCTATTACTGTGATATAACAATATTCCGTGTTCCACTCCCTCTTGCGGGATAACTTATAACATAAATATAAAAAGAAGAAGAAAAAAAGATGATATAGGTCCTCTTCGCTGCAATGTCTGTCCACAGGATCTTAGGAAACCAACATTGCTGCTGTATATGTTAACTCCCACAGGTGCAGTTTAATGAGCTTCGTAGAGTGACAGCTATAACTGTTTATGGAGATGAACAACCAGAGGACACCGAGTCAGCGGGTAGCAATGTAGATGAACAACCAGAGAACTCAGCGATAGTAGTGTACAGAAATACTGTCTCTAATGAAGACATAATTGTGACGCCCTCGAGTGGAGCTGAGGTACGGTGTCACATTAAATTTGGACTCCTGTGCAATCTGATCACTTTTACAATGTACAAACTCTCATTAATATGAATGTCTGTATTGTATAAGTTCTCATTTTTCTGTGCACCGAGACATACACAAAGGTTTTTCAAAATTCCAAAGTACAACACTCCATTCATGTTGAGTGTTTCATTATGGTCAGCGACATGGTGCTTTGTTCTTTACTATGAGATGCTTGATGTTCTTAATTCATATTGAGTTTTTGTAAGACAGTCCTCCCCGGTTAGAATTATCGCCATTCATTCATTCATTTAAGGAGACAGCACAGTATCAAAACATTCATTTCGTGGAATGGCGCCTGGCATTATTAAATGAACAGGAAAGAAAGCAACAACATTTATGATTTTAAATACAATGTAAACAAGCGAATGAGATATGAAAAAGAAACCATAAGTTGGTTACTTTGTTTTCTAAAAGAGGTTTACAGTGGATTGGGAGGCACCAACAGTTCAAAAGTTCAAAGACAGTGTGGTTGCGGATGAAATACGTTTGATTATCTATGACTACGGACGTGGCATTCCCTACCGCGTTGAAGTTTATGGATGCCCGCTCAGTAAGTAACCTATTTTGACCTACGTAGGCCTATGTACAAATATAAACGCAAATTACAACTGGGAACATACAAATATAAAAAGGAAATTTACACGTCATCTACTAAAAGGTAGACGTCATAAAGAGATATCCCAGAGGCATTATTTGTATTGCTAAGGCAGTATAACCTACATTTATTTAGTTCGCTTTGTGATAAAATGTTACTCATGTTTCGAATTGGCTAGGGATTGTTCTCAATTCGACACTCGTTCTAAATCATATGAAATTCACAGGGGCCACTTCATGACGTTGCTGAGCGCAGACTGGTTTACGCAAGATCAAAATGAGCAAAAAACAGTTCACCAGCAAAAATCTCCAGTGATGTGCAACGTAACAACGGTGTATTTATTGTCTGTATTTTGCTTTCAAAACAAAATACAAACAATAAATACTCCTTTGTTACGATGGACATCATTGGAGATTATTTGTGTGTTGCTCCCAAAGCAAAGTAATATTTAAATTAATGCAAATCATTCATTTTAAAATAATCTTGTTTTTTTCCCCTACAGTCCCTTCAACAACAGTAGCCGTGACAACAACTGCAGGTAAGAACACAACTTAAGATTCAGTTAGCAAGAAAATAACGCAGGACGTTTTGTGTTTATTATGAGGAACAAAATGTCCCTCATTATGATAGGCCTACGTATCAAAATTATTGTGTGTTTATGTGTATAATACATAACATGTATATTTCAAATGTATATAATACATATATCAAAGGTAAATGTATCTTTATTTGCCATGCAGATTTGTAATAAGTAGAAACAAACAAATTGCAGCTGAAAAAGTATTACTTTTTAACACCAACAGGAAACAACACATTACAGATTGAAAAATCAGGAATGAACATTTAGGAACATTGATAATTAAAGAGCGGTAATTAACTAAAAGCTAAGGCAGATTCTTAACGTGGTGAAGGTTTACCAAAGATCAAAATGAGCAAAAACAGGGCACCAGCCAAAATTCTAGTGATGTGTAATGTAGGAAAGGACAATTTACTGTTTTAATTTTGCTCTCAAAACAAACTAATATTTAATTTGAAGCAAATCATTAAAACTGGAAATAATCTTGGTATTTTTTCTCCCACTGTCCCTCCAACAGCAGCAACAACGACAAAAAAAGGAGGTAGGAACTGAAATTAAGATTCATTTAATATAAAATAATGGAGGACGTTTCGTATATATTATGTGGTACAAAATGTCCCTCATTATGGTACTATTAACAGTAGTGTATTTGTATGTATTTGATTACGTTAAAAGTATATATCAAATGCAGAATTGTTGTAATGAGAAACAAACAAATGGAATGCAGCTGGAAAGGTATTACTTTTAATACCAAAATGAAACAACACAAAGATCAGGAAAAATAATTGTATAGGAACATTGATAATTAAAGAGTGGTAATTCACTAAAAATCCAGGCGAATTGTTAACCAAGAACTGATTATCCAAAACCCCAAATAGCTCGGGTTATTCTAATAACGGGTTATTTTATGTAAATTGGACGTTTTTGTAAGTTCATGAAAATTAAAAAACCTTCCCACCAAAATTTGTTTTGCACTGGTAACTTTTATTGAAGCTGTCCAATTATTCATGTTAGTGTTAAGATCGTCTTCTCAATGAGCTGTCGGCTTAAGTTCATTGTTGCATAACATTACATAACAATCAAATGTCATGCCCTTCTAAATGTTAAGATGGGCTTCATTGTTAGCGCGTTTTTTCAAATGATAATGTTCAAGCATTCTTTGGTGCATCTTGTGTTGAGAGAACATGTATATCGATCTCCGTGGACAGACAGGTTTCGCACATGAAATGTTCAAATTAGCATAGCTCAACGACAAAATGTGCAAATGCAACGACTTTTTCGCCACATTTGCTTAAAGGCCAGGACTTTAAAAGCTGCTAATTGACAGTTAAAAACAATTTTTTAAAAAAGGTGAAAATTGCTGTCAAATGTGGGTGTTTTTTTTTTGTAACCACCCTGTACAGATCTGTGTTTGTACTGATAAAATAACTCAACCCTCATCAGGACAGTGCAAACAACGACTACAAGGGAGGGAGTAGTTACTAGATTTAAGCTTTTAAAGACAGTTGCTGAAATAAAAAGGTATTCTTTATAAGACCAAGTTATCAACAATTTTAAATCTTTGTGTGTGTTTATTTTTTTCAATAACTCGACCCACATCAACGCAAACAGCAATTACAACTACCGAAGCGGTAACCAAGGTCACCACTACAACGGCTGAGCCGACAAGTACCACTAAAGGTATGCTGGTTCATAAAATATTGGTTGTCAATGTTTATAAAACAACAACACAAACACATTTTTAACCCCTTTTTTTCCTCGACGCCCAACACATTCATGCTACACTGTGGAAATCAATGTAAAACATTAAAACAATTCCATAAAGTAAAACATTTGTATGTACATTTTTATCTTGAATTGAAAGAAAGATATACGTTCATGTTATTTCATTGGTCTAGAACGGCCATTATGTAGCGTATAAATTACCTCATAACTGCGTTGCATACCGGTATATACAATACCACTGCCTAGGCCTTACGCGTTGAGCACGTGTGTGTATAGGGCCGACCCGCGCGCCTCACGACTGATAATTGCAACCGCTTAGTGTACACATCCGGCAGGAATGCCTGAAGTTATCAAAGGCCACACCGCAGTGATTTACTATATATCTAACTGTGATCTGTTTCACGGTGCCCTGTGGAGACATGTGCACAATACGGACCAAAAGATTGTATACGTCTCCACAGGGCAATTTCTACAGGTGAATCGTCTCCAAAAGGTTATCATAAAATAGATTTATGGATTTTACTCAAAAACTAGGAATTTCCAAGGTGTGTTGATCCGTTGCAAATTGAAGTATTTTATGTAAGGGAACAAAATGTCCCTCATTATGATACGTATCAAAATTATTGTGTGTTTATGTGTATAATACATAACATGTATATATCAAATGTATATAATACATATCAAAGGTAAATGTATCTTTATTTGCCATGCAGATTTGTAATAAGTTGAAACAAAAAAAATTGCAGCTGAAAAGGTATTACTTTTTAACACCAGAAGGAAACAACACATTACAGATTGAAAAATCAGGAATGATTATTTAGGAACATTGATAATGTGGTGAAGGTGTACCAAAGATCAAAATGAGCAAAAACAGGGCACCAGCCAAAATCTCTAGTGATGTGTAATGTAGGAAAGGACAATTTACTGTTTTAATTTTGCTCTCAAAACAAACTAATTTTTAATTTGAAGCAAATCAGCTGGTTTTATTGACTGTTTAAGGCCTGAGGGATACCAGGGGTTAATAATCTGGGGTGAATGGTGGACGTTGAGGGCCGGGTAGCTCAAATTACATTGTGTCATGGAATTATTCCCAGCAGCCGTCTAAAATCACAGTGCCAAAAATTAGCACGCGAAGGGTTAAAACTTGAAATAATCTTGGTATGTTTTCTCCCACTGTCCCTCCAACAGCAGCAACAACGACAAAAAAAGGAGGTAGGAACTGAAATTAAGATTCATTTGATATAAAATAATGGAGGACGTTTTGTATATATTATGTGGTACAAAATGTCCCTCATTATGGTACGATTAACATTAGTGTATTTGTATGTATATGATTACGTTAAAAGTATATATCAAATGTAAATGATTTACATAAATGTATCTACATTTGCAATGCAGAATTGTTGTAATTAGAAACAAACAAATGGAATGCAGCTGGAAAGGTATTACTTTTAATACCAAAAAGGAAACAACACAAAGATCAGGAATAATAATTGTATATGAACATTGATAATTAAAGAGTGGTAATTCACTAAAAATCCAGGCGAATTGTTAACCAAGAACTGATTATCCAAAACCCCACATAGCTCTAATTCATTATAAATGGAGGGCTAATTATATGGGGATGCTTCCGACGGAAGCCGTTGAAATAAATGCAAACGTCGTAAGTTCCACCAGCAACCTCATGTGTGTTTGCATATTCTAGCAAACGTGGAAGTATTTGAGAGTATAAGACTTGAAATCAAGTCGGTATTAAATTGTCCGGGTATACTCCGCCTGCGCCGCCTTGTACATGTACAAAACCTTTTGTACCAAGGTTGACGCCCCGTGGACGCAACTCGTTTCCATGGGTGCAATCTTGATGCGCCATGTTGGCTCCGTATAATTTAATAGTGCCAAATAGTGGCACATTTAAACTAGGACTGCAGTCGATGTATCTAACGCGCGACGCAGTACGTGCTTAAAATTTTGAAAGTTTGTTTTTGTAGAATATTGGAGGTCTCTTTTGACAAAACATGAGTGCCTATCCATATATCACTACGTCAAATATGATGTCACAACATACGAAAATACTTTTCATGGCACAAAGATTTTAGTTTTTGAGACTTGGGTCATGAAAAACGTGGCATTTACAATTTGGTAAATCTTATTGATATCCACAGGTAGGCTATGGTTTCACAAAGATCATTACCTCTCAAAAGGTCACCAGAGGTTAAATATGAAATGGCCTATACATGCATATGCAAATTCTTTTCATTTAGACATGAAACGTAAAAAAGATAGGGTTTAAAGAATACATTTTACAAAAAGCTATAAACAGGTTTACAAAACTCATTGACCTCTCAAAGGTCACCAGAGGTGAGATATGAATTGTTCCCATATCTGATCATTATTTTCATAGTATAAATACCTAAGACGTAGACTTTGGTCATAGGAAAGTGAAGTTTTGAAGAACAAAAGTTATGAATAGATTGTGTAAATTTCATTGACCTTTCAAACGTCACCAGAGGTCAACAAATATGCTTTTATCACAAATTGCACACTCCTTTGACATTTTGGGGCTTTGCCGCACCACTAAGCCACTTAATTGCGAATATCCTATACCCTTTGCGAGTTACGTTTGAATAACATCTAGATACTGACTTGCTCATAATGCTTGGGACGTGTTTTACTTCAAATTTTCCAGACCAAAGACACTGTTTCTGTATCGCATGATTCGGGCCAATCTCTTGCATAGGTACGTAAGAAACACTCAGCATCAATATGCCTACATTGCTCGCAGTGGTTGAGAATGGCACAAAGACACCAGATCATTCCAGAGCTAGGGTTGCTGGCGTAAGGCTCGCCCCGAATCACGTTAAATAGCAACTGCCGCTTTGGTCTGGATAATTCCAATTACAATCTGCCAAGCATGCGAACAAGACAGGGTACCAGATATTACTCGAATTTAATCGCAAAAATTGGGAAATATAGTACTTTGGTGTTCAGGCGTGTTTTATTTAGCTACAGATCTGCTACTGGATAATGTACTGAATTTGATTTTTTTCATCATATTATCTTTGGGCTTTTCTGTAGAGCCACCATCTGCCCCACAAGGTAAGTGACTCGGTGTTATCATATTTTGTTTCACAATATTTGCTAAGGGGCTTCGCCTTGGGGCTTCGCGATGCTTCTCAGGTGGGTCGCTATAGCTTGATAGGCAAAGACAGCCACTCTACATTTGTTTCCCTTCTTTCGTTTTCCTTTGTGCCAATTGAAATCTGAAACTCCATGGCGTGCGTTTCTCTTATTCATTCATTGGGTAGATTGAGTTTCTATATTGAGTATATATTCTAGATTGAGTATATTGTCCTATTGTGTTTTCTTCCCAATAAGGATCCACGTTTATTTACACGAACACACACACACACACACACCCACCCACACACACACACACACCCACACACACATGTTTGCTTTTGGTGTCAATCGAGGATTTTCTGGTGCTCCTTTTCCCTTTTTCTTTGTTTGTACTCTTACTTTCTTGCAACAGCTCTCATTGGTTTGTACACGTTTTCTGATCGAGGTGATCCTCGTTCTGGCTGCTGTTCTCAATTCCTCGATGCTGTTGACAGTAGTAACGATCCAAAATGGCTTCTATTATACCCTAAAGTTGAGCGCATTCACCATGTCTGCTGATATTATCAAGTAGTCTTGCCAAACCCGAGCTTCCAATTCACCAAGTTGCTTACTGGCACGGTTGCCCTATTGAAACTTTAAATAATTTTTTTGAACAATGATAACATTGTGATATTTAGCCCAGAAAACAAGAACGGGGAAAATTGAGGTGTCGGTAAATTGGGTAAACAAGTAGGTGAAGGGTTGCCTAACATGGGAGACTTTGAAAATGTTCAAGGATATTCCCAAAATTATGAGTAAGAAAAGGTTTCGCGACGTAGACATAACTATTGTAAACAACAATTATCGCTTATATTGGGGGATTCCTTGAACTTGTTTAAGTCCCCTACGTTAGGCAACCCTTCGCCTAGTCTTTAGCCCAATTTACGGACACCTCATCTTCCCCCTTTTCTTTCAGGCTAAAAATCAAGATGATATTGTTCACATGATTTCCCATTTATAGGATAACTGTGCCAGTAAGTAACTTTGTTCATTTGAAGCTCATCAATACTGAAGTTTTGCAAGTAAATGTAAATGCGCGCAACTGTAGGGTATAACGGTAGCCATTTGGGATCTTAATTATGTCATAATAATCATCAAATCCCTGATATATGCTTCTAAAAATGTTATTTAAGTAAGGATATGTAAGTTTTTTTTCAAAAAACAAAAACAAAATTATACCCACATATGGGAATAAACATAGTACATGGCAGGTGCTAATGATTTATGCAAATGAGGCACCCTTCCAAAAATAATTTAAGGTGTTACACCTTCTAAATATCTTTTTTGGGGCAATAATAATCTCTCTGCCAAGTTTGGTGCTGCGGACCAGTCGGTCACGATTCCGACCACATGCCGACTGATTGCGTAGCACAAAGAGATGACACTTGGTTTACGTGTGCGCCGTCCTAAGGAGGCAGGTGGGGTCAATAGTGGCTGGCGTCCCCACCTGGCTTCTCTGTCTAAGATCTATCTCGTTATGTCTTAGATCTATTGTAAGCCCTAATTACACAAGAGGAATTTTACTCTTAAATCCTTCTCCGCCCTTGTCTTTATATTGGCAGCTTGTCCTCTTGGCCTTGAGCTAGTTGCTGAATGCAAGGATTGTCGAGATCGAGTATGTCATGATGGCAACTGCTACGAAGTTGTAATAGCGAAACCACTGGAGAAATGCTGCGAGTGCTCTCATGGAGCAGTGTTTAATGGGTCCGAATGTGTTCATCCGAAGCATTGTCAGTGTGTCGACGCAAGCGGTAAACTCAGACAGGTAGGAGAGTTGACTATTGTGACCAGTTCCTACCAAATGAGTTAACACAAATGGAGTACCTTTTTATTCACTTTAACATTTTCATGTACTTCTTAAAGGGCACAGTAAGCAAAGCTAATAGCACGTTTACCTCGGAGAAAAAAATCGCTGAATCATTGACGTTACAACAGATATCTCCACGCGCACGCAACCATTAGCAGTGGCGTATGGTATGAAGGCGGCTAACAGTTCATTTGAACTGTAAGGCCTAGGCTAAACGCCGTGCTACTGCCATGCCGAACTTAATTGAAATGAGTTCAGCACTAGCGCGGCAATAGCACGGCGTTGCACTTAACGCCGTTCTTCATTGGGGTTGCGACAGTCGAGTGCAAAATACTCAACAACATGTCGCAGCAAGATCATACCCACGGGGAACGAGGTTGTGGCCGACAGGACCCGGGAGCAGGACCTTGCGATGTTGAACTTAATTTGTCGAGTCGAATTGGTTCTAAACGCCGTGCCATTGCCACGCCAAACTTATAACAATCAAATTATTTGAGTTGGACACGGCAGAAGCATAGCGTAGGCCTTAACAGCGCCATGAATTTGGCCCTTGTTGTCGTCAGCCGTGCATTTGAATACACCTACGAGTGGTCTCTCCTCATAACTCATCCTTTGTAACTGACAGAGAGGTATTTTTGCACGTGTTTCATGCTTCAGCCTACAATCATCACCTTATTTTTGTTTTCACTATGACAGCCTGATGAAGAATGGGATCAGCATGGCAGAGAGTGTTTCACATGTATATGTTCATCGAACGAGATCAAATGTTACCCAGACACCACTTCCCCAGGGTGCAAGCCGACATCCCCAGCACCATCAACAACAAGTAAGAGCATTGTTACATTCAATGTTGGAGCTTTTCTAAATATAAAAATGCCAAAGCCATGGAAGGATCAAAGCTAGTTCAGTTATTGTTCTGATGAAAACACAAACAAAAATCCCCAAAATTGCAATTATTACATCCCTGGTTTACTCTTGTTGACTTCAAAGATTTTAAGCACATACACAATTGTATCTACATGACTTAAAGTTGTTATCATGTTTGAACAGCTATAGTGACCAACACTCTTTCAACCACGGAAGGCAACGTAATCTCAACTGCTCTGCATACCAGTGTGTGTCAGTTGTTGGTTTACACTTGAAAATTATAAACAAGTAGTTTTGCAGGAGTCGGAAAAATACATGGCAAACAAACATGTGACGTTCACGGGTCAGAACAATTGAAATGATGAACACATTTAAATTCACCTTCATTTATTCATTTCGCTCAACCCCGTGGTAGTGTAGAACCTGTAGTGATGGATACAATATTCTTACTTCCCTGACAATAGTGACCGATTGGGCAATAGTAGGCCTATACTTGAATGCCAGGAGTTATAACCCATAACTATTTTGATTTACCATGCTGCAATGAACATCGACAAATGAAAGAAGCGTGCAGTTTGTTCTGGCTGTCGATAGAAAACAACTCCCCGTGTCCAGCTGCGTGCGGGGTGTGCATGCACGCGCGCGCGCAAGTCTTCACACGGGGAGTTCGTACTGAAAATGTTTTCAACGAAAGCGTGGATGTGCGGTTTATTTTCGGTAAGCACGCCGTCCACGGACATATTTGCCTTTTCTGAACCCAGCGTATGCACAATTCTGGACACAAGGAATATTTAAGCGAAATTTCAGCTTCTTTCATCAGGTAGAAATGTGAAAAAAAATGTTTAGATTTGTTTTCGCTATGCCAGCAAACGTTCATACCCTAGACTCCGTTGCGTGTACACAAAGGAGTCCAACCTGTGCTAGGTAACAATGTAATTTGAGTGACCAAAATCTCCACCCTGAGGTATGAAAAACGTGACCAAATCCCGACATCGGACCTGGGGTAGCGCGGGGGGGGGGGGGAACATTGGATGGGCGCATAAGTTTAACAATACAGAGTGTGTCCCTCCCCCCCCCCCCCAAGGGCCCCTCTCAGGGTTGTAGCAGAATTTGAAGGAAAAAACCCGTAATTTTTTTTCTTCCAAAATTTTAAGGCATATTTATTGTACTATTTTTCTGTAAAATTTCCATCGGATTCGGTTAACCTGTTTTCCAAATAAAGGCTATTTGGCTTAAATTGGCTTTTTGATTAAATTACTAAACTAAACAGGAGGAACGCTTTCATTGACATTTCTCATTGTTTACTGTGGCTATTTATTTTTATGTACATATAATATCTTCTTTAATTATAACAAAGGAGTGTCTCAAACACCTTGTATATAGAAGTTCAAAGTGATTCAGGCCATTCAGGTTAGGCTGCAGGCGGGCCTGAAAAAATAAACAGAAACACCTTGTGTACGCCTTCAAGTATTGTCAAACTTGGAATGGAGCAAAATCGATTGGTGTTTCATCAATAGCCTTTATTCCAAAACTACTTAACCGAATCCAACAAAAAAATTCTCACAAGAAAGGAAAAATGTTTGGGCTCATCAATTTTATAATTGAATTTGAATTTGTTTTCAAAAATTACGAGAATTCTGTACACCTTCCAAAGTGACTTTTTTTTTGGGAGGGGGGGGGGGGACGCGCTGAATATACAGGGTGAGTAAAAAGAACGAAACCCAAATGGCAGGACCAATCTTGGAATGAAGTGTTGGCTGTAACACTTTTAAAATATTCGATATGAAAGCCCAGTCAATGAGCTTTCTTTAAGTACAAGAATTATTAAAATAAGTTATGTAGTTTTTAAGTTACGGAAGTTTGAACACAAACACCGTTTTAAAGTTCTGTCCACGTATCACAAAAAGGGTAAGTGTTCTTTCTGCAAAACGAAAACAATTCACATGCCTCCCTTTGAGAAGGTAAGTGGTCTTAATTCAGATAAACAAAAACAATTCACATGCATTCCTAGGAGAATAAAACGAATTTGATCTCTGAATGCTGCCATTCGGCAACAGCTTAGACGAATTTGATCTGTATGACGAATATTCTAGAACCATTGACTAAAAAGGGAGACCAAACTTTGAAATTGAATGGTAAATGACTAAATTGGTTTTGTTAAAAGCATGTGAAATTTTTCTCGGACGAAATTGAATGTTAGAGTTGGTGAATCTGAATGCAAAATGTTTTAAAATAGCCGGGAAACCTATATTTCGTTTTAATTTGCTTTCGTTTTAATTGGGTAATCCCTTAAGGCAATTAGTTGCACCACATGAGGCCAGTCTAAATGGTATACTGTTTACTTTCTGCTGGATCTACCTTTTTGAAACCCCATACATGTTACATGTACAGGCACAGTCCGACAAATTCATGATTTCTGTTGTTTGTGCATCAATTTCAATGATATAAAACCATGGTTTCATTACTGGGTAAAAAGAGGATTCACGTTATGCGGAGAATGGTACCTTTGGAAGATTTTTTTTTAAGGTTTCACCGAGACGATGGTAACATGAAAAATGATCAAATGTGACCACTGTCCGCACTTGGATTTTCGACACGGGAAATGTTACCCAGACCGCGTGGTAGAAGAGCCCCCGATACGCACACACGCCATTAAAATCGTAGAAAATACCACACAAACATCGGTGGAGTAATTCCCAGAACGTGATCTTGATCTTTTTTGTGAATGTGTTTTCCGTTAAAATATATTTATAACTAGTTTTACCGCTCGGACTTGACACACGGCAGCGTACGTGTTTCCACAAAATGTTCGACCACATCACGTGTGGGATCGTGCGGTCTCTGTACGCATGATACTCGCGCTCGGGCCAGATGTACGCTTTCCCGAGCCGCTTGTACCGACTCGCACTGTCCGCACTGGACTTATCGTCTCGGGAATTGTGACCTGGCCAGTATTCCTTGGCGCCTGGTCAGTTTTCCTGGGCATCAGTTGTTGGCCAGTAGAAGTAACCGCTGGATTCAGGAAAAGTAACTGAGAGGAAAACGTCCTAGGCTGTCCGCACTGGACTTAAAATGGGAAAAGTACCCATAGTCTCGGTAAGTTTTACCACAAAAGGTCCAGTGCGGACAGAGCTTTACTTTAGATAAATCCTTAACCTCACCATACTTTGTAACTGTGGGTTTTTGGTCACGAGGAATTGATTGAGGTTATTGCCGGCATTAAAATTAAGCCTAGAAATAGGACTGGGAACATTAGGGAGATATTCAAATATCTCATGCCATATTTTCAACGGGGAGCGCCAATAAAATCCTAAAATTATTCACACTATAGCAAAGGCGGATCCAGAACACAATTTTTTTGTGGGGTGCCAACAAAAATGTTGGTCCTCCCAAAAAGTAGGTCCAAAAAATTACGGCGTGGGGTTCGGGGCCCGCTTAAGGGACCCGAACAATTTTTGGATTCTAGATGCTCTGTGGTGCGATCTGAGGCAATTTCTGACCACTTTAACCAATTGTTTTTGAGGAAAAGATGTTGGTGTACTCATTGCCTGCCTTTATTGCGATGTCACATAAAAAAAAAAAAAATTGGTTTCGTTTTTTTTTTTTGGGGGGGGGGAGGGCGATGGCCCCCTTTGCCCCCCCTCCTGGATCCGCTCTTGCACTATATTAACTAATGCACCCTTGTCACGGCTATTTCTTCTTTAGGGGGAGACCGTTCACATGTACATCACAATCCTTCTTTTTGCTAATTTTTTTTTTGCAATTTTTTTTTTACGGAATTTATTTTGGGGGGCTAGACAAAATTTTTGGGGGGCTACAGCCCCCCCAGCCCCCCCCGTAGAACCGCGCCTGATAACGTGTTTCCGCAAGGGTACTTCTTGTGATAATAACAATGGCTAATAATAAAAATACCCACATTGAGTCACTAGGAAGACATTCCATAGACTTGTGCACACCCCCCATTTTCCTTACCCTACCTCAACGCATTTTGGTATTTTTAGTAATTGGACCACGAGCAATCGATCTGGCCAATTTGCGACACTTAAATTTTGCCTCAAATTTGGAGCTGAGGCATAAGGGAGACATTGAAATAATTAAGAAAAAATGTTTTAGACCATGGTGTTAAGCCGTGTACG